TGCCCCACGGCCAGCCCTGGGACAGGCTGCGAGAGGAAGGCAGCACTGCTGGGAAAGGGGCTTGGGGCCCTCTCCACAGCAGGTCCCATGTGTGCTGATGGATGAGGAGCTGCCAAGCCTGCCCGTCAGCATTCACTAGCCCCTTCCTTCTGGGACACCCGGCTTGATGTGATGGAGCCCATTAGGTGTGAGGTTGAGGAGCTTGGGGACCAGGACACTGCTGTCACCCTGCTCTTAGAGAGGAGACCAAGGGGAAGGTGGTTACTCACTGCCTGCTCTGTTTCCCCCAGCTTCCTTGAGATGATGGAGGCACGCAGCCGTGGCCACGCGTCCCCACTGGCAGCCAACGGGCAGAGCCCATCCTCAGGCTCCCAGTCTCCGGTAGTGCCTCCCAGCGCTGTGTCCACAGGGAGCTCCAGCCCCAGCACACCCCAGCCAGCCCCACAGATGCCCCTCCACACCCCCTCAGCCTGCCCCTGTCCCCTGCCCCCCACGGAGGCCCCACTGCCCCCTGCAGCCCCTGCCCCACGGCGCAGCATCATCTCCAGGCTGTTTGGGACCTCACCAGCTGCTGAGGCAGCCCCTTCAGCCCCAGGTGAGCCCTGGAGTGTGAGTGGCCCACGGCGGGAGCGCCTGGTCTCTCTGGCCCTGGGAGCTTGCAGACTGGGCTGGGATCCTCCTCCCTCCTGGCAGGCAACCCCACAGCCCAGTCACCTGGGCACAGCCTGTGTTGAGCCTGGCAGGAGTGGGCACTGGACACATGGGAAGTGGCTTCTGCTGTCCACAGAGCCAGCCTCAGTCCCAGAGGCCCCAATGAAAGTCCAGAACGTGGAGGATTTTGTTCCTGAAGAAGGCCTTGACCGCAGCTTCCTGGATGACAATGGCCCCCAGCAGAATGAGAAGAGAATTGGAGCTAAGCTCCCACAGGACAGTGACAGGTAAGGGCAGAGGCCAGGTGGGCCATGGGTGAGCCAAGGGGACAGAGGGAAGGACTCCCTGAAGGCCTGCACCCCAGGAAGAAGCCTGCTTGAACCAGGGGTTGGGCCAGGCAAGACACAGGGACCAGCATTCAGGCCTGGCCTCCCACCCCTGCTGCTCCCTCATCACCAGTTCCTGGGTGTCTGCAGTGCATACCCCCCTGCACTATACCCAGGGCACACCTGCTGGTCTCCAGCATCCCCATGTCCCTCCAGAAATGCAAAGTAGCAGAACAGGGCCAGCGCCAGGCTGCTCTCCCACCCCCAGACAGCTGAGCCCATCCCTGCACCGCACCCCACCCGGGGGCAAAAGGGCACCCACTTTACACACTCTGCTGTGTGGCAGCATCTCCATCCATCTCCTTGGCCCCACCTCGCCCCCCACAGTCTATGCCATGTCTGCCATACCAGCGGGTTCCCTTTGCAGAGGGCCCCCAAAACCTATTCTGGTCCTGGACAGGTCCCCCTTGCTGTCTGTTCTCCCACACATGCTGAGTGCCAAGGATAGAGCAGCCCTGCGGCCAGTGCCCATGGGTGCCCCAGGTCTGGGGCTCAGGGTGGGGAGGGGGCTCTTTGCGCCCCCCCCGTGACCTCTGACCCCCTGACTCTCTTTTGCAGTGATGAGGAGGCCCCGGGCGGGAACCCACTGGTAGCAGGTTTCCAGGATGATGTGGACATTGAAGATAAGCCACCTAGCAGGCCCCTGCTGCCCGTGGGCCCCATCAACAAGGAAAACATCACTTCTTCCAGTGAGGAGGAAGCAGAGAAGGTGGCAGGGCACCCCAAGGCCACTGTCCCCATCCCCCAGAAGTGCTCTGAGCCAGAGACCAAACGGTATGTGTATGGGATCCACCCTGGGGGTGGTGGCAGCCAAGGGCACCCTGACTTCTTTCTCCCTTGTCCCAAAGGCCCTCCACAAAAGCTGCCAGGCTGCACAGGGGTATGGCTCCCAGGGCTGCAGAGTCCCACCAGCCAAGCACCCGCAAATCCCCCGCTGAAGGCCCCTCTGGAGGCCATGAAGAGGGCAAGAAGGAGCAGGCAGCGTCATCAGAGAGTGACCCTGAGGGGCCCATTGCCGCCCAGATGCTGTCCTTTGTCATGGATGACCCTGACTTCGAGAGCGACTCAGACCCTCAACGGAGAGCGGTGAGGAGGGTCTGGGGCCCACTCCGGTGACTGCACAGCACAGGGGCTGCCATGTCCTGGCTGCCACAACGGACCCTGCTGGCCACCCGGACCCCAGGCTTGTCACCTGCCTGAGAGATGCAGGAGCCGTCCTACAGGGTCCCATGACAGGGCACCAGCCACCCAACCTGCCCACTCTTCTGCAGGACGAGTTCCCGGTGCGAGAGGACCTCTCAGAGGAAACTGATGAGGATGCTGCTCCTGCCCAGCCCCCGCCACTCCCCAAGCCCCCTGTGGCCTCCTTCAGACTGAAGAATGACTCGGACCTCTTTGGGTTGGGACTGGCAGAAACTAGCCACAAGGATATCAGCGATGAAGGTACTTTGGGGGCCTGGGTGGGCTGGGGGCACTTGGCTGAGTGCATCAGGGCCATATGGGGGCTTGGCAGTGTGTACTTTGAGTCCAGCCACCCCGGGAAAAGTTGCATGGTCAATAGGCCTGTGGAACACTCATGGTGCTATGTGGCCCCGGGCAGCCACATGCTCCCTATCCCCTGAGCCTAGCTCGCCCCAACGAGCAGTGTCACCAGAGACATGTCCCAGAAGTTGCTTGTCGCCAGAATGCAAAGAAAAGGACCCTCCCAGGCTCGTGCTGGGGCTGAAGGTCTGCCTGCAGGCCAGCATGTGCTCCCGGCCGAGCAGAGGCCGTGGTGTCACAGTCTCTCTTCTGGGTGGTGCCAGCAGCCAGGGGGACCCCTCCCCACACCTCCCCAGGAGCTTCAGGCACGTGCTGTCTTATCTCCACAGATAAGGAGGGCAAGCCTCCCACGAAAGAGAAGAAGAAGAAGAAGAAAAGCAAAGAGGTAGGCACCCTGCCTCCTAGGTGCCCACTAGGCAGCGCGGGGTCCCAGGGCCCCCCCAACCTGAAGTGCCCCTTTCCCAGGAGGAAGAGAAGGCTGTGAAGAAGAAGGGCAAGCATAAGAAGAGCCGGGACAGGGAGGAGGGCAGGCAGGAGCGGCGGCGGCGGCGGCCCCGGGGCACCGAGAGGACAGAGAAAACAGCAGGGGACGAGTTGGAGGCCTTCCTGGGGGGCGCTGCCCCTGGCGGCCACCTCCGCGGGGGTGGGGACTATGAGGAGCTGTAGGCCTCGCCTTGCTGACTGCCTGCACCGCTGACCACCTGTGCTGGATGGGCCACAGGCCCACTTGCCACTCACTGGAGCTGCTGGGCCTGCCTGCAGGAAGGGGGTCAGCGGGCAGTGGGCGGGGCTCTGCAGGCTGCAGGGCCCCCCAGCGCTTCTCAGGGATGGGACTGAGGCCCAGGAGGCCGCAAGGCTGTTTACAGGGCGGGGCACATCCTCGTCACTGGCCTGGCTCCTGCTTGCCCCCAGCCCGCTGCACTGGCTCTCCCAGGCCCCCTGCACACCAGGTGGGCCCTGCTTCCTGCCCCTGCCGGCATGGGGGTCAGACGCCAGGCAGCACTGGCGCCTCTCCCGGGCGGGCTCTTCCCGGGCCTGGGGTCCAGCTTTGCACTGCGCAGGGCTTGCTGTTGACCCAGCCAGGAGGCCCTCACTGTTTGCTCTCGTTTTCCTTCAACACTCCACCCATAAAGCTCTCCTGTTTTACTGAGTGTCTGTGTGTACTTCTCCCTGTAAGGCTTGGTGGGGGGCGGGGAGGGCTGGGCTGTCCTCAACTTCCCTGCTCTTTCCCATGTGGTCCAGGGAGGGGGTCTGCAGAGGCCTTCCCAGCAGGCCCACTCCAGGTGACCTGTGTGTGCAGGCTGCCCAGCATCACCACTGCCCTGCACCCCTGTCCCAGCCCCCCTAGGGCAAGTGCAAGTCTGCTCTACTGGCCCCTGCTCTTCCATCTGGTCCTCAATGCCTCCCCTCCCTGCTTCCACCCAGCATCTCCCTGCAGACCCTGCCCCCTCCAGCTGCCAGTAGGGCCCAGCCCCCACCCACCACCCACTGTTGCCATGAGAACCAGGCCCACGGAGGGAGGGTGGAGGTGGTAGTTAGGCCTCCCCTCAGGCCTGAAAGCTTCCCCTTACCCAATTCCTGTGCCTACACTACACAGTCTGCTCCCTAGAGGCTGCAGGGCAACTGTCACTGGGCTGGGGGCCAGGCACTAAACTGACACCCTAGGGACTTCCCTGAGCCCACAACCTGCAAGATGGACTGCCCAAGTGGAGCCCACTAGAGGTGGGGACCAGGCTGACAAAATGAACTTGCTCAGGGTCCTAGATCTACTGGATTTACGACAGGGCGGGTCCTGCCCTTGGGAGCCAAGGGCATCTGTGAATCAATCCTCTGCCAAGTCAGACTGTGCCCAGGCTCAGCGTCTTGCTTGGGAGGGGCTAGAGGGCCAGAGGATGGAGGTTACCACGTGGTTGGCAAGTGGACCATGTACAGACCAGCCCTCCACCCACCCAGATGCAGGTCCCAGGGGGCCGAGCAGCAGGCCCTCGCCCAGGACAAGCTGAGCATCCCAGGCCTCCATCAGCGGGTGCCCATCCGGCCTCAGGTGCCTACAGAGTTTGGCACCTGGAGTGCCGCGGAGCAGAGTACAGGCCAGTGGCCCGGAGCGGCCCATCTGCTCCTGCGGGGGCTCAGCGGAGGCGTCAATTCCGGAGCTGTCAGGATTCCCAGAGCTTGGGACTCCTCCAGGGTCCTGCCCCCAGGCCGCCGCCAAGCCACCGCTGCGTACTGCTGGACCCGGGGGCTACAGGAACCGCAGACAGGACCCGCAGGGTGCTCCCTGGGCGCGGGCACCCGGCTGCGCCCTCGGCTGCGCCCTGGACCGAGGGAGGGCTCCTCACTTGGCGCTGGGCGCCACCACAGCCCCCGTCCGCCACGCGGGTCCCAGGCCCGCCGCACGGCCCCTTTAAGTGCAGCCCCGCCGGCCACCACCGGGGGCAGCACTGAGCGGCCGGCGGCCTCCGCGCCGCTGCCTCGAAGCTTCTGCCGGTGCCGGGGACGCCGCGGAGTGGGGAAGACGGAGCGGTCGCGGGCCTGCGCAGCCCACCGGGCGCGCGGCGGGGAAGCGGCGTCCAGGTGAGGGATGGGGGCCGCTGCCCGCCGGGCGCCATCACGGGCGGCACACCTGCAGGGACGGGGGCCCACCCCAGGGCTACCCCAGCGGGTCCCCGCTCGGGGCGCTCAGGGCGGGGGCAGGGCTGTGCGGCGGGGAGGGCCCGGCGGGAGGGGCGCGGGAGGCCTGGGACCCCTGCCAGGGCCGGCCATCCCCACAGCCGCGGGAGGGGCGTCACCCGGGGCCAGCTCCTGGGCGCTGCAGAGGCCAGGCCAGCTGTTCCCTCCCTGGGGCGGGGCCTCATGCCCTGTCATCGGACCCCCATCCCGGGGCGCTTAGGATGGACCCGGGAGAGCAAGGGGCGAGTCCTATGAGCAGGGCCGCAGTTGGGGTGGGACAAGCATGGGGACGTGGTGGCCCTGCCCCAGAAGAGCAGCCCTGCTGGCAGAAAGCCCCGGGCACACCTGGACGCCGAGGGTCCCCTGGACCAGAGAGCCTGCCAGGTGACGGCCCAGGTCCCTGCTAGGCCTTGCTTAGCCCAGGGCCTGCTTTCCCTTGGAGGAGAGCCTGACCAGCCCGTGCAGACCTGAGCACCCCCGGGGGTGGGGGTGGGGGTACAGATGGCCCAAGTGGACCCCTGCCCAGCCCCCACTGTGGGGGTAGAGGAACCTCAGGTTGCCATGGAGCCTTCCTGAGCTGCTGTGGAGATGGCCCTCTCCGGAGGAGCTGTAAGGGGGGGCTCTCCCCACCCACCCCAACTTCCCCTGCGTGGTGTGGCCTGGCTCAGGGAAGAGGGGCAGCCATGAGCTCGGGCCTCCAGCCCCCACGTGGGCCTGCAGCGGGTGACTGGCTTCCAAACTGCGGTGCTCAGGCTGCAAAGCCACGGACCGGCTCTCTGGGCCTTGTCAGGACAACCCCAAGAAGCTTGGTGGCTGTCAACCACCCCGAGATACTGGGGATCAGGGAGGTTTCTGCAATGAGAAGGGGTTTCTAGGGGCCAGCTATGCTCTTTGTGGGGCATTATTCTGGCCCGGACCACACAGAGGGTCAGGAGTGGGGCAGGCCAGCCCATCATCAGCCCAGCGGCCGTGCCAGGACCTGACAGGGTCATCTCGGTGCCCACTGGGGCCTCATGACTGGGGCTTGGTCCCAGTGCAGCTGCCACAGCAGGACCCCATGCCCCACCTGGTCAGCAGGTGGGCAGGGAGGCACAGTGACTGTGCAGAGCTGGTTCAGGCTAGGGGCCAGGGATGCCTTCTCAGCACCGCCGGAGGGCTTGCTCTGCACTGGCCACTGGAGGGGGGTCTTCAGTCACCAATGGGTCTTGAGATGCCAACACCTTAAAGAAATCTGTAAATCTCACATTAGGATTCAGTTATTCCTGCTGGGACCACCCCCCCCCCATTCTTCCTGCCCCAGCAAAGGGGTTCCACCCAAACCTGCCCAATGGTTATTAGTGGGGGCAGAGGAGCCAACCAGGGACACAGGCCCCGGGGAGGAGCTTGGGAAGCACAGCAATGGCACAGCCTTTCTGGCTGACTGGCTCCACCCCAGCAGAAAGGGGCAGCAGCGGAGTGGCCAATGACTGAGTTCCTCCTGCAGGTGCCTCTGACGCCGGCATGGAGCAGGTGCCTGTGGCCTCAGCCAAGGCCTGCAGCCAGGACTGCTGTGTCCCCGGCGTCCCAGGTAAGTCAGGACAGTGCAGGGGTGTAGCTGGACCCAGGCTGCAGGGGGACCACCCTGACCCGCATCTCCCACCAGGGCCAAGGCCCCCCAAGGCAGAGTAGGCTGCAGCCGCCAGCCTAGGGACCTCTTTTAAGATGACCCGCACGGACCCACCAGACCTGTTGGTGTCGACCGTGTACCAGGACATCAAGGTGGCGGCCCCGGGGCCCGCATCGCGGCGCCCGCCATGTGAGCGCTCCGTGGCCCCGCCGGCTGTGCCCGCGCCTTTCAACAAGCGCCACTGCCGCAGCTTCGACTTCCTGGAGGCGCTGGACGGGGTGGCCATGGAAGCCCGCATAGAGCCGCCGCCCCCAGAGCCCGCCGCGCAGCGCTCCCGGCCCCGCGACGCGGATCCCCGGCGCCGCGCCCGCTCCAAGAGTGCGCCCCGCGCGCCCCCGGGCCTGGCGCCCGCTCCCGCCTCACCGCCCGTGTTGCCGCGCCGAGGCCGGGAAGCCCAGCGGACTGCGCGGGCCGAGGCCTCGCCACACCGGGAGCCAGCGTACCCCGCGCTGCGCGCACTCGCCAACGAGCTGCACCCCATCAAGCTGCAGCCGCAGCGGGGCGTCCCTGGCCGCATCGCGCCCCTGTGCGCTGCCACCGGCCGCTGTGCGCCCCTGGAGCAGCCCGCCGGGCCCGCACCCCACGTCCGCTGCCGCCTGGACATCAAGCCCGACGATGCGGTGCTGCAGCACACTGCCCGGGGCTCGCGGTCCTGCGGACCGACGGAGACCACGCCCTGGGCACGCGCCGCCCCGCAGTTCCACGGCCTCACGGTGCCCGGGCCGCGGCACATGGCGCTGTCGCGCACCCCCACCCCCAGTGACACGTACTGCGGGGATCCCCGGGCGCTGTACTGCGATGGCCCGCTTCCTGGGCCCCGGGACTACACAGAGCGCCGTGGCCCGTCCTTCACGAGGCCTCCAGGCCCCACCCAGTTCTTCTACACGGAGGAACCCGAGGGCCACCCCGGCAGCTTCCCCGCCAGCCCGGGGCCGCCCTTCGACAGCTACTATGGCAGGCCCTTCCCTCCGGAGGAGCCCCCCGTGCCCAGCCCCAGGCGCGGCAGCAGCTACTACGCAGGGGAAGTGCGCACCTTCCCAGTCCAGGAGCCGCCCTCCCGGTCCTACTATGGGGAGGCCACCCGAGCCTACGGCCCGCCCTGCGGGCCACGCTATCCTCCCGAGGACCCGCGGGCCCACCCCGCTCTCCACCACTTCTACACAGAGGACTTCGGACGGTACCGCGACCGCGATGCCCTGGCTCGGACTTACCCACACCCGCGCAGCAGCCCCGCCTGGGTCGACTGGGGCCTGCGGCCTTACCGCACCCTGCAGGTGGTGCCTCCTCCGGACCCTGGCCCGCTGCTCGCCTCTTGGCATGGGGGCACTGGCACCAGCCCACCCCGGCTGGCCACCGACAGCCGCCACTACTCTCGGTCCTGGGACAACATCCTGGTGCCTGGGCTGCGCCGGGAGGACCCCCTGGGCCGGGGCCGCAGCTACGAGAACCTGCTGGGGCGCGAGGCACGGGAACCGCGGGGTGCATCCCCTGAAGGCCGGCGTGCCCCAGTTGTTGTGAACCTGTCCACCTCGCCCAGACGCTATGCAGCACTGTCACTGTCAGAGACCTCGCTGTCGGACAAGAGCCGCATAGGCGAGGGCCTGGGCCGCAACTGGTACGTCACACCTGAGATCACCATCACTGACAACGATCTGCGCGCTGCGGAGCGCCCGACTGCCAGGGGCTGGGAATTGCCCGGGGGGCGAACCCGGCCGACCCCACCCTCCGCCCCTGAAGCCCCCACCGGTGGCCGCCAGCGCAGCCTCGAGCAGCTGGACGAGCTCATCACCGACCTGGTCATCGACTCTCGGCCCCCCGCCGGCCAAGCCCCAGAGCCCCCGGCGGATGGGCTGGGCCGCCAGCTGCGCCGCTTGCTGGACTCTCGGCCCGCGGGTCCCGGGGCCCCCGCTCTGGCTCCGCGATCGCCCCCTGCGTCAGCCGGCAGCGCCGAGGAGCCCGCGGGCTCGGGACAGGCGGCCGACGCGTCCCCGGAGCCCAGTGCGGATGAGGATGACCTGATGACGTGCTCCAACGCGCGCTGCCGGCGCACCGAGACCATGTTCAACGCCTGCCTCTACTTCAAGTCCTGCCACAGCTGCTACACCTACTACTGCTCGCGCCTGTGCCGCCGCGAGGACTGGGACGCACACAAGGCGCGCTGCGTGTACGGCCGCGTGGGCAGCGTGTGTCGCCACGTACTGCAGTTCTGCCGGGACAGCGGCCCAGTGCACCGCGCCTTCTCGCGCATCGCGCGTGTGGGCTTCTTGTCGCGCGGTCGCGGCGTGCTCTTTCTGGGCTTCCCGAGCCCGGGCTCTGCTGACAACTTCCTGCGCTTCGGCCTCGAGGGGCTGCTGCTGTCGCCCACCTACCTGTCGCTGCGCGAGCTGGCCACGCACGCAGCGCCCCTGGGCAGCTATGCGCGCGAGCTGGCGGCCGCCGGGCGCCTCTACGAGCCGGCCGAGTGCTTCTTGCTCAGCGTGTCGGTGGCCGTGGGCCCCGGCGCCGCGCCCCCCGGCTCCTCCGCCCGGCCCGCGCCCGCGCCGCGCAGCCCTGGGCCCACCGTACGCAAGTTCGCCAAGGTGGCGCTGGCGGCCGGCAGCCCCGCGCGTCCGCCCCCGGCTCGGGGTCGCGAGCCCGATATGGAGACGCTGATCCTGACCCCGCCGCCCGGCACGGCGGGCCTGGACCAAGAGGGCGAAGCCGGCCGGCGCGCGCGCGAGGTCGCCTTCATCCACATCCAGCGCGAGCTGCGGCTGCGCGGCGTCTTCCTGCGCCACGAGTTTCCGCGCGTCTACGAGCAGCTCTGCGAGTTCGTCGAGGCCAACCGGCGCTTCACGCCCACCACCATCTACCCCACGGACCGGCGCACCGGCCGCCCCTTCATGTGCATGATCATGGCGGCCTCCGAGCCGCGCGCGCTCGACTGGGTGGCCAGCGCCAACCTGCTAGATGACATTATGTGAGCCGCAGGGTCGCGCTCGGGCTCGGTCCAGCCCGCTCAGGGCCAGCCCACCCCGACCCCGCCTGGTCCACGTAGGGCCCACCCCCCAGGCCCACCCCCAGGCCCACCCCCCAGGCCCACCTCGAGCCCCACACAGCCCACTCAAGGTCCGCCAGCTCCCGCAGGGTCCGCCCCCGAGCTCCGCCCGCCCACCAGGTGCCCCGCCCAGCCCCCGGGCCGTCCTCTTGTTCGCCACAAGCTCCGCCCAGACTCCGCCCCATCGCGTTCTCCACAGCCCCCCCACAGCCAGCCCTGGGGCCTCCCCGAGGCAGGTCCTCGGCCGCTTGGTGCTCCCCGCTGGGAGGCGGGGTGGGCCCGAGGACCGCTCGGCCCTGCCTTCTCGCGGAGAGGTCACTACCGCAGACCCCCCGCAAAGATCGGTCAGCCCATCCGGACGTCCGCAAGGCCTCCCTGGACCCTCCAACCCTGGTCGCCGGACCCAGGATCCCGGGTTGACCAATGCCAGTCCCATCCCTTGAACGTGCCCAACCAGCCTCCTGTGGGTTGGGGCGCGTGTCCTCTCTGGAGGACACCCTGACCAGTCCCGCTGTGTGCGTGTCTCTGCACGGCTGTTCCCGCTGGCTCAGGCCCCGGATGGAGAACCGCAAGCTCCCGAGTCCGCACATCCGCGGCGGCGCTGGCCGCCCTCCGGTCCTGACGGGGCCCTGCAGGAGAGTTTGGGACAAGCAGCTATGGAGGGGCGGAGGGCTTCAGCCCAGGCGCAGGACACCCAGACACAGGAAAGGGGCACCTGGGAGAGGGCGCTGGCAGGATCCAGCCCGGCCAGGGCAGAGGGGAGGAGGAAAGACGCATGGGATGGATGAGCGCGAGGGACCCTCAAGGCCGTCCAGAGGGGGGCTCCAACAGGGCTGGACATTCCCAGTGGGAGCGGGTGCCCCAGGGGGTGTCCCATGGAGGGGTGGCCTTACCCTAAGCCGTGGGCTGGAGACACGAGGCCGGGGGCCGGGCTCCACGCATCGGCCTGGCCCTAGGTCCATAGCGCGAGTGACCTGAGGGCACTAGGCCGGGCCTCGCATGAGCCCTCCCGGAACCCCCAGGACTCCCCATGGGGCCAGGAGAGGACACCGTCCCCACACCCTGCTCCCGGCTCTTCCCCGCTCGCCCCCGCCCCCTGCCAGCCTTGCACTCCCGTCCATCCCCCAATGCCTGCGCGCCTGCCTCCACCTAGCGCGTTTGCACCGGCCACGCGCCCCGCTCACCCCACCCGCCTTCGCAGCCTCCTGAGGTTTCGGCCCAAAGCCCAAGGCCTGGCTGGCCAGGAGCGACCCTGGACGGGATCCCTGCCAGGGGGCGAACGCTTTGGAACCAAGTAAAACAGAACTCGAATATAGTCCTTGCTTCATCTTTGGGGGTGAGGGAAGCAGGGGGTGGGATGGGAGGTTGGCCCTCCGACCGGCTGGGCTGGGTGGGCACAGGAGGGAAGGGAGGAGGGCCTTGGGGCGCGGTGGGAGAACACAGAGGGAGGACCTGGGACATAGTGGGAGGATAAGGAAGGAGGACTAGGGGAGTGGTGGGAGGATGGTGAGGGAGGCTTGGAGAGGTGGGGGGAGGACGAGGGGAGGACGAAGAGGGAGGCCTTGGGGACGCGGAGGTGGGGGACCGAGGAGGAAGGGCCAGGGCCGGCCCGTGTCCCAGGCCTTCAGGGATGCTCCCTCTCGACCCCTAGATGGGAGTCCGGCACTGTCCGGCTAGGACAGAACTGCTGGGCGGGCTGCAATGGTCACCACCCATTCCCGGGCCTGGCCCCTTTAAGGGGGCGGGCGTGGCCTCAGTTGCAAGGAGCTAGGCTGCCATTGGCCAGCTCGCGCGGCAGGTCGGCCGCACGATTGGCGGAGGTTCTGGGCTCGGGCAGCATGCCCCCGCGCGATTCGCCCCGGGGTCCCAGGGCCCGCCTCCCGCAGGTGGACTCGACCCGGGACCGCGGGGGAAGGGCCGCGGCGTGCAGGGGCGGCGGGCTGTGGGGAACATGGCGGCCGCGGACCTCGCCCAGATCGCCGATGTGGACATCGATTCCGATGGCATCTTCAAATACGTGCTAATTCGAGTCCATGCGGCGCCGCCTTCCGAGACCCCGGCCGAGGAGAGCAAGGAGATCGTGCGCGGCTACAAGTGGGCCGAGTACCATGGTGAGGGCGGAGCCGAAGGGCGTTTTCGGGGCGGGGCGAGCCGGCTGTTGGGGGCGGAGCCAACAGGTTCGGGGTGGGGCTGAGGCCTGGGCGGGGCCAACAGGGTCGGAGCAGAGCTGAGGACCTTGGCTGTGTCCACAGGCTTGGGTGGGGGCGGGGCCAACAGGGTCGAGGTGGGGCTGAAGGGCGGGGCCAGCCGGCTGGGGGAGGGGCTGAGGGGCTTGGAGAGCTGATCCCCCACCCACCAGGTCTGATTCTGGGCTGGCTTGAGGGGGGCTCCTGGCGGGCAAGGCCCGAGCCCTCCCTCCTAGACCCCGCTCTCTTGCCCGGGTGCACGCCTGCCTCCCCTCCTGGGGTCTCGGCCCGGAGGGGCTCCTCCGGTGGCCGCGGCCCGTGCTGAGCCACCTCCCCTGTCCAGCCGACATCTATGACAAGGTATCTGGAGATATGCAGAAAAAGGGCTATAGCTGTGAGTGTCTCGGAGGCGGGCGCATCTCCCACCAGAGCCAGGACAAGAAGATCCACGTGTATGGCTACTCCATGGTGAGCCCACGCCGGGGGCAGGAGGAGAGACCAGCTCTCAGGAGCCCTCACGCCCTGTAACCGGTTGGGGGGGCGGTGCCAGCCCAGCTGCAGACCCTTTCCCTCCAGGGACTTGCCCGTTTCCCACTGGGGGTGAGGGGCGGGGAGGCCACTGCTGGGCCAGGGGGCTTGTCCTTTTCCTACAGGAGGCCTGGCTGGGCCGCCACCGTCCTCCGGTTCTTGGGGTGAAGCTCAGATACCCCTCCCTCTTCCTTCTCCAAGCTGCAGTGACAGCCGGGGCTCTCTGTGCACCTAGGCTGCACTCTAGTTCAGGGCCCATTCTCCAGGACCTCTCACCCTATAGCCACCTTTCCTCAGGAGAGCTTCATGGGCTGCACAGCCAGTGGGGGACAACCGTGTTTGGCTCCCACCGGGGACCCCGCCGCAGGCCGGCTCCTGGGTGTTGCTACTGGTGGATGCCCAGGGCCAGGAGGGGGCTGTGAGATTGGCTTCTCTCTTCAGGGTTATGGCCGCGCCCAACACTCCATCTCCACCGAGAAGATCAAAGCCATGTATCCTGACTACGAGGTCACCTGGGCCGATGATGGCTACTGAGGCCTGCTCCACGGGCCAGCTTTCTCCCCTGGCCAGGCAGTGGAGACCCACAGTGGCCTGGCCCAAGTGCCCAGATTTGCCTCACCCACAGGAATTAAAAATGTTATCGCTCCTGCTGTTCCCCAGATGCTGTGTGTCTCGACTCTTCTGTTTCCCAGTCAGCCCTGGGGACCCCTGACCAGAGAGGGTAGACGGCAGAGAGCTGGAGGCAGCCCTGGAAGCAGCGAGGCCCCTGCTGACTGCCCCTCACCTGGCTCCACATCAGGGGGGCCCCAGGGAGTGGCAGTGCACACTCAGCCCTTGTGTCTGATAAGGGGCCCTGCACCACTACCCCCATTTATGGCCTGATTGCTCTTCCACGTGGCTCCTTTGTCCAAGGACACCTCGGAGGAAGCGCTCTGAGCCCTTGCGCAAGGAAGTAGCACCAGGTCCCTCGGGGCCAGCCGACATCAGGGTCCCCTCGTGATCTGCTGTTTGAAGTCATGTGTGGAGCGACCCAGGAACCCTTCCAAGACCGGTCCCATGGCACCTGCCCTGCAGCCACAGGCTCCAGTCTCCCAGGGCCATGGGGAGATAAACTGGGTGTAGAGGGAGTCAGGCACAGCTGAGCGGGGCTGGCCCTGGGGCTCCCTGTGAACGTGGGTGCATCTCGTGGCGCCTGCCTTGCATGAGCTCACGGGGCCTCATGGGAGCTGCTCCAGGCCGGCACTGCTGTGACCACATCTCACAGATGAGGAGATGGGTCTGAGGGGATGAGCTCCTGGGGGCACAGTGGTAAACGGGACCCAGACACCAGGGCCTGTGCCTGGCAACACCAGCCACACTGCCCGAATGATTGTTGCCAGATTAACAATTGTGATTTCTACGGGAATAAGCCGACAGGAGGCCAAGGACTGAACACTGAAGGGTGAAGACCCCAGCTGCTTGGGGCAGGGAACTAGGCCACCTTGGGGGCCAGGGTCACAGCTTGCACACACTGGGCACCTGCTCCAAGCTCTGGGAGACCTCAAGGCCTGAGTAGGGGCAGGGAAGTGGCCATGGCCTGTGGCACCACAGTGCTTCTTCCAGCGGGGCCTCCACTGAGCAGGGCTGGGCAGCAGAGGGCACAATACCTGGGGCCTGACCTTTGGTCTGAAGGCACTGGGCAGGTGGGAGCCTACCTGGGCCAGGGGCCCCTCTCCTGGGCACTTTTACAACCGGATGTTCATCCTCAGCACCACGGGGTGGGGCCTGCTAACAGGCAGCAGGTACAGAAGGGGCTGGGTCCCCAGTCTCCAGGTAGAGCAGAGTCAGCCTGTGGGGCCACAGGCAGACAACCAAGCAAAATAGCCACCAGGCTGCCCAGCAAGCACCCCGTCTCTTGGCCTCCTTCCCCCTGGGAACCCACCATGCTGCTGCCTGGACACCTCCTACCTGCCCTGGTCCTGCTCCTGGGTGAGTTGTCAGATCTAGCTGTTGAAGCAGGGCCAGCCCTGGGCATAGATGCTAGCCCTGCAGGGCAGGAGGGTGCAAGGGCCTGGGTGCTGGGGAGACAGAACTTTCGGGAAAGGGGCAAGAATTCTGTTTCCCCTGGCCCCAGTGTCCACAGGTCCCAAGGCAAGGGGGCCCTGGAGGCAGACCTTACTCCACCAGTGCAACCAAATGGAGTCTTGGGTCCAGGGCAGCCTGGGCTCTGCTCCCCCTTCAGGGGGCTCCCATGTTGGGGGCCCTTAGTCCCGTGCACGCACCCTCCCTGATCCCGACATGCTGCCACCGTCTCCCAGGCCAGATGTACTCTGCGGGACCCTGACTGGGAGCCCCAGGCAGCAGGACCCAGCCCCCTCCCCTACCTGCCCTCTTGGCCCCCAGGGCCCCAAAGCAGGTAGACAACACTGTGGGTTGCCTGGGTTTGGGGGGCATCCTGACTCCAGCCACCTGGCTGTCTCTCTGCCAGCAGCAGGGTCCCCAGGCCGGGCCTGGACCCCCAATACCTGCAGGGCCCCTGGTGAGGCCACGTGCAACTTTGTGTGTGACTGCCCGGGCTGTTCCGACGAGACCCAGTGCGGTGAGCTGAGGCCGGGCAGGAGGCAGGTGGGCCAGCCCTCAGCAGGCACTGCTGACCTCGTGCTCCACAGGTTACCACGCAGCCTCACCTGCCTTGGGTGTCCCGTTCGCTTGCGACTTTGAGCAGGACTCCTGCGGCTGGCGGGACATCAGCACCTCAGGCTACAGCTGGCTCCGGGACCGGGCAGGAGCCACGCTTGAGGCCCTGGGGCCACGCTCTGACCACACCCTTGGCACGGACCTTGGTGAGGCCTGGGTGGGTCTCCAAGATTCCCCCCCCACACCCATTCTAGCCCCACCACCTGACCTTTCTGCTGGGCCAGGCTGGTACATGGCTGTTGGCATCCACCGTGGGAAAGAGGCTGCTGGTGCCACCCTGCGCTCTCCTGTCCTGTGGAATGCGGCCCCTACCTGTGAGCTGAGACTCTGGTACCATGTGGCCGCTGGAGGTGGGTGCCCTGCAGGGAAAGTCCAGGAAGGAGGGAGGGCTGCTGCAGGGCCTGGGGGGCACCCCCCGAGGGACAAGCGGCCAAGGCCTAAGCCTCCCCAGGACCCTCCTCCCATTACAGCTGTGGCTGAACTGCGGCTAGAGCTGACCCACAGGGCCGAGACCTTGACCCTGTGGCAGAGCTCCGGGCCCTGGGGCACAGGCTGGCAGGAGCTGGTGGTGACCACTGGCCGCATCCAGGATGACTTCCGGGTGAGCTGGGGGTGCTCTGGGTGGTGGGGGTAGTAGGGAGGGTCTGACCTGGACTTAAGTCCTAAGGACCCCACTCTTCTCAGGTGACCTTCTTTGCCACTCGAAATGCCACCCACCGGGGCACCGTGGCCTTGGACGACCTGGTCTTCAGGGACTGTGGGCTGCCTGGTAAGCCCCCCACTGCAGGCTGTGGACCCACACCTGGAGGGGCAGTGGCTCAGCAGGAGCCCCTCACCTGCTCACCCCCACTGACAGCCCCTCCCCCAGCTGCCCCAGCCCCCAGGGTTTGGGGTCGGGGTGATAGGCTCCCCTCCCTGACCTCAGCCCCCCAGGCCCACTGCCCCCTGGGGCATCACCACTGCCAGAACCTGGCCTGTGTGGCGCCCCACCAGCTGTGCGACGGGGAGGACAACTGTGGGGACGGCTCTGACGAGGACGCATACTCCTGCCGTGAGCTGCAGGGCCCCCTGAGAACCTGGTGGGGCGGGAGCGGGTGGAGGAGAGGCCCTGCTGGCAGCCTAAGACCTGCTCCCCTCTCCCCACCTGCCCCAGGCCACCACATAGCCACCGATTTTGAGATGGGCCTGGGTCTGTGGAACCACTTGGAGGGCTGGGCGCGGAACCACAGCACAGGCGCCTGGCATCCAGCCTGGCCACACAGGGACCACAGCCAGAACAGTGCACAGGGTGAGTGGGACCCACAGGCTGGGGCACCCCCAGTCCCCCCACCCCCCCTTGCCCATACCAGTCTCTCCCCAGGCTTCTTCCTGGTCTCCGTGGCCGAGCCCAGCAGCCCCGCCGTCCTCTCCAGCCCCATATTCCAAGCCTCGGGTGCACACAACTGCTCGGTGAGGCGGGTGGCCCCCACCTTCCCCCGGGGCCCAGGCTCCAGGGGCCCCCTGACCTTCCTGGGCTTGTCCTCAGCTCGTCTTCTATTACTACCTGCACGGATCCGAGCACGGCTCCCTCCAGCTCTTCTTGCAGATGGAGAACCCAGGCTCACCCCAGGTCTCCATCCTGCTGCGCCGGCGCTGCGGGGAGCTGGGGGCTGCCTGGGTCCGAGACCGGGTCGACGTCCAGAGCGAGCACCCCTTCCGGGTGAGGCCTGAGAGAGCAGCAAGCGGTGGGGGAGGGGGGTCCAGGGGCCCCCACAGACACTGGCTGCTGTCCCGGGAGCTACCTTAGCGGGAAGCTGGTTTGGCGTTTAGGAGCCCAGGGAAGAGGCCTTTGGGAAGGAGCAGTCACTCCCACCTCTTGCAGGGCTGGCGGGGGAGGGGGGGCGGGGGACAGGGGAGGTGGGGAGAGGGCTGGAGCCAGCCGACCTGGGAGGACAGAGGCGCCGGGGCACACCCTGACCCCCTGTGTCCTCAGATCCTGCTCACGGGGCACACGGGCCCAGGGGGCGTCCTGAGCCTGGATGACCTCATTCTGTCAGAACACTGCCAGCCAGTTCCAGGTGGGCCTGTCGAGCCCTCTGTCCATCCCTCCATCCCCAGGAGAAGCCCCACCCCACCCCTGACTCCTGGTCTGCCCCCACAGAGCTGTCCAGCCCGCCTCATGGGCTCTGGGCCCTGGCCCTCCAGCCCCAGCCATCCAGCCTGCCACCTCAGGACTTCTGCGAGCCCGGACATCTTTCCTGTGGGGAACTGTGCATCCCCCCAGAGCAGCACTGTGACTTCCAGCAACAGTGTGAGGGGGGCGAGGATGAGCAGGAATGTGGTGAGTGGTGGCTGGAGCCGGGGGAGGGGGGGGCAGAGCGCCTCTCATCCTCTGTGCCCTCCCGCCACCACTGGGTGCTGGCTGCTGTTCCAGGGACCACGGACTTCGAGGCACCCGCCGCCGGGGGCTGGGAGGATGCCAGCGTGGGGCGGCTGCAGTGGAGGCGTCTCCGGGCCCAGGAGAGCGGGGGCCCAGGCACAGATGCTGGCGGAGTTGCAGCTGGTGAGGCCCAGGGCCCTCCCTGTGGGCTGTGCCCCCCAAGGGGTCTTTACTGGCCTCTTCCCCCAGGGACTGTGTCCGAGCTGGGGGGGTCCCTGGCGGGAACTGTCTCTGACAGACCTGGCTCTTTCTTAGGGCACGTCCTGTCCTTGCAGAGGGCCTGGGGCCAGCTGGCGGCAGAGGCCCGGGTCCTCACACCTGCCCTGGGCCCCTCAGGCCCCCGCTGTGAGCTCCGTGTGGCTTACTATTTCCATGGTCACCCTCAAGGTACCCCAAGGCCAACAGGAGCTCCTGGGTGTGCCTGCAGGAGGGGGTCGGGGGACGGTCTGGGAGGACCCACCATGATCCCCTCGGCCAGGCTTCCTGGCCCTGGTGGTGGTGGAGGGCGACAGCCGTGAGCTGGTATGGCAGGCCCCGAGCAGCGACAGGGGCTGGAAGGTGGATACCATCCTGCTGGGGGCACGCCGCCGGCCTTTCCGGGTGAGCAGGGCAGCCTGGGGGCCAGGGGGTGCACAGAGCCAGGCCTGACCTCACAGCCCCCTCCCTGCTGCTTCTCACGAAGCTGGAGTTGGTTGGGCTGGTGGACTTGGACGGCCCCGGCCAACAGGGTGCCGGAGTGGACAACGTGACCCTGAAGGACTGCAGCCCCGCGGCAGCCATGCAGGACTCAGGTCCTAGTCCCAACCCCGGGGCCTACCACCCAGACCACCCCAAGCAGGACAAGTCTCCCACCCTCTCAGGACACGAGGGGGGCAGGGGGATGCTCGAGGGTGCTGACCCCTCCCTGCCCCACCCCTCACAGAGATCTCCTGTAACTTTGAGCGGGACACATGCGGCTGGCACACCGGCCACCTCACCGATGCCCACTGGCGCCGAATCCAGAGCCGTGGCCATGGGTACGACCACACCACAGGCCAAGGTAGAGTGAGGGCACCCACCTTGGGGGTCAGCTCTCAGACTCCAGGGGGAGGGGAGGCCTTCACACTGGGCCCAGTCCTGCCTGGAACCTGGCATCTCTGCAGCTCAGCCCAGTGTCCCCACTGCAGGCTACTTCTTGCTCCTGGACCCAACGGACCCCCCGGCTCGAGGCCCTGGCGCCCATCTGCTCACCCAGCCCCAGGCCCCCTCAGGCCCTCAGGAGTGTCTCTCCTTCTGGTACCACCTCCATGGGCCCCAGATTGGTGAGTGACCCTGGTGCTGGGCAGAGCATCCATGGAGGCCTGGGGGGCTCTCTGTTCTGTCTCTCAGCCCCTCGGGGGCTCTGGTTCCCTCCTCCCCTGCCCTCCATGTAGGGACACTGCGCCTGACAGTGAGACGGGAAGGAAAGGCAGAGGTACTGCTGTGGTCGCGGACCAGCACCCAGGGCAACCGCTGGCACAAGGCCTGGACTACCCTGCACCACCAGCTGGGCTCAGGCACCAAGTACCAAGTGAGGCCCCTGCCTGATGGGGAGGCAGGAGGGTGGGGTGGGCCAGGCCCACAACCACTGACCCCCTCTGCCCCCAGCTGCTGTTCGAGGGCCTCCGGGACGGCTACCACGGCACCATGGCACTGGATGATGTGGCCGTGCGGCCTGGGCCCTGCTGGGCCCCCAGGCAGTGCTCCTTTGAGGACTCAGCCTGTGGCTTTTCCAGTGGGGGCCAGGGCCTTTGGACACGCCAAGCCAATGCCACGGGCCTCGCCTCCCGGGGCCCTCACACTGACCACACCACAGAGACCGCTCAGGGTATGCATCAGGGGTGATGGAGGGTTGGGCAGAGGGGTCAGATGGGGGCTGACACGGACACTTCCTAGGGCACTACATGGTGGTGGACACGAGCCCCCAGGCCCTGCCCCGTGGCCAGGTGGCCTCCCTGACCTCAGAGGTGCACCAGCCTCTGGCCCAGCCAGCCTGCCTGACCTTCTGGTACCACCTGAGCCTCAGAAACCCAGGTGAGGGGCTGCGCCAAGGCTGCCTGGGGGCCCCCGCGTGGCCTTTCTTCCTCAGCTGACTTAGGTTGGCCCCTGGGTGTGACAGGCACCCTGCAGGTCCATGTGGAGGAAGCCCAAAGGTATCAGGTGCTCAGCATCAGCGCCCATGGAGGCTTTGCCTGGCGCCTGGGAAGTGTGGATGTGCAGGCCGAGAGGGCCTGGAGGGTGAGTGTTGGGGGCAGGCAGCCCATTGCCTTTGAGGGTCGTCTGGAGCGCATGCGACGCTGCCTGCCCTGTACCTGCCCAGGTGGTGTTTGAGGCGGTCGCCGCCGGCACGGAGCACTCCTACATTGCGCTGGATGACCTGCTCCTCCAGGATGGGCCCTGCCCTCAGCCAGGTGGGAGTCCCTCAGCCAGGTGGGATGGGCCCTGCCCTCAGCCAGGTGGGAGTTCCTGCTCCTCCAGGATAGGCCCTGCCCTCAGCCAGGTGGGAGCCTCAGCCAGGCGGCCTGGCCCCAGGCTCTGCTATGCCCCACAACGCTACTAGCTCCATGCCAACCCCAAGATGCCTAGTCTGGCCCCCCATCCCTGGCAGCAAACTAGAGAGGGGCACAGACTGCACCGTTCAGTGGCTGGGCTCCTTGGGTGGGGCTGGGGGGAGTGGCCCCCACTCACCACCCAGCTTTCTTGCAGCTTCCTGTGACTTCGAGGCTGGCTTATGTGGCTGGAGCCACATGCCCTGGCCTGGCCTGGGAAGCTATAGCTGGGACTGGAGTAGTGGAGCGACACCCTCCCGCTACCCCCAGCCCCCTGTGGACCACACGCTGGGCACAGAAGCAGGTGGGTCTGGGCAGGGGAAGGGGCCTCAGGGCCATGCACCCCATCCCAAGCAAGGCTCCCATCACAGTCAAAGGTCACAGGTCAGGGGGGCCAATTCCATCCAGTGAGCAGGGCGCCCTGCCCTCTGTCGTTTCTAGGCCACTTTGTTCTCTTTGAAACGGGTGTGCTGGGTCCAGGAGGCCGGGCAGCCTGGCTGCGCAGCCAGCCCCTGCCTGCCACTGAGGCCTCCTGCCTCCGCTTCTGGTACCATGTGGGCTTTCCGGAGCACTTCTGTGAGTGAGGCTGAGGCAGCAGTGCCTGGGCATTGGAGGGGGCAGGGGAAGGGGCAGGGGCTGGGGACCTGATTCGCCCTGGCCCCCTACTACAGATAAGGGTGAGCTGAGGGTGCTCCTGAGCAGCGTGCGGGGCCAGTTGGCCGTGTGGGGCACCAGTGGGCACCTGCGGCATCAGTGGCTGGAAGGCCAGGTGGAGGTGGCCAGTGCCGAGGAGTTCCAGGTAAGGCCTGGAGGCCCCAGACACCTCGGGCAGGCCCGTCCTCCTCCAGGCAACCACTTCTCTCTCCTGCTCAGATCGTGTTTGAAGCCACTCTCAGCGGCCAGCCGGCCCTGGGGCCCATCGCCCTGGATGATGTGGAATACCTGGCAGAGCAGCACTGCTGGCTGCCTGCAACCACCCAGGGTAAGCCCTGCCTGGTCGCACCTCTAGTCGGAGCCTCTGGCAGGCTCAGCAGCTCGTGGCTCACATGGCTGCCAGCAACCCTGCCTCAGGCCCAGGAGGTCAGGACAGCGACCAAGGCCCAGCCCTGCACCAGTGCATCCCTCCACCAGGTGCCTGTCTCCTCCCCTTCTGGGCTAGGCCAAGTGGGCCCCGCATCTCCTTTCTCTAGGCCGTCCTTCCCGGGTGGGGCCAAACCCCAGAGGAAGGCCTGGTCAGGCCAGAGATCACCACCAGCCTGCCTGGAGCCCCTGCCGGCTGCTATCCCTTCATGACCAAGAGCCAGTTCTCACTCAGGGGTGATTGGGGGCTGAGACAAGCGGCCTTGGCCAGGAGCCCTGTGCTGGCACGACTGGCGGGGCCTCAAGGCCAGGCCACCCCCATGCTCCGCTGTCAGGGCAGGGCTGACATATGCCACGGCCCACAGGGGATACATTATTGGCCGCCTCAGTGCCAACTGTGGTCAGCAGTGCCCTCCTCATCCTTGTCCTCCTGGTGCTGCTCGGACTCGTGGGGCGGTGCTGGCTGCAGAAGAAGGGGGGCTGCCCCTCGCAGGGCGAGATGGCAGCTGAGGCCTCAGGCTTCGACAACATCGTCTTTAATGCGGTAGGAGCCCCTGGGTAGGGACAGGTGGGCAGGGGCACTGGGGAGAAGGCTTCCTGGCCGGCCCAGGGCTGTCCACCTGCATGCGCCTCTGTCACCCACCGCTCAGAAAACCCTCTTCCCCCACCTAGGATTGTGTTACCCTGCCGGCTTCGCTTACCAACAACCAGTAGATGACTGAGAGAAGCCTGCTCCCACCGTCAGCCCTGCTCCGCAGAGTAACACCCGCCCCTCCCCCAGAATGCACCCACACTGCTACCCACGAGCCTGGGAACGGTCCCCACCCCAACAATAAATGCCCTGGTCTATGAGGGCAGCCCCCGCTTATGGCCTGAGGTCTGTGCATTGTACTATCAGCAGGAAAGTGGGCTCTTGGGGTCCTCAGAACCAATCCAACCTGCCTGAAAGGATGTGCTTGGGGGTACCTCCCACACCTGTCAGTGACTCAGGTGACAGGTAACAGGCCACACAGGATGGGGCCAAGGGCTAGAGGACCCAGAAACAGACAGTGGGACCCTGATAAGCCCTGCCCCAGGCCAGGCAGGCACCCCAAAACTCAGGCGGCCCAGGCCACCCTGTAGACTGACCTGGGCACTGCCCAGCCCTGCCCTGTTGGATGATGCTGCATCTGATTTAGGACAGGGAACAACCCCGGTGGGTGCAGGTGACAGAGTGGAACATAACCAGGTGTGAGGTAGTAGAGAGCTGGGGGGACAGGGAGGTTGTCCCGCTGTGCCCACGGTTCCACATAAAGGTTCCATGGTAAACATCCTGTGTCTCAGGGTATCCACTGTCCCATGGAGTCCAAGTGCTCCCCAAAATGATGCCTAAAGCTGAGATCACAGCTTTGAGGCACAGCTGATGCCAAGCAGCTCAAGGGCAGGCTAAGTGGAGGTTCTCGTCCTCCTGGCCTCATGGGCTCAGAGGATAAAGGCAACTCCCTGTCTGAGGCATCATGGCCCCTGGCATGCCCACATTCCTTCCTTAATAAATCGGAAATATATTTTTCTGACCCAGAGAGGGTCCCCTGGGCACAGCCATCTGGGGAAGGAGGAGACGTTCACACTCTCACAGCCAGGGGCTCCCCTCCTGCCTGCAGGAAGGCTCCCCTGCTTTGCCACCCCGCCAACTGACTCCATGCCAGGGGAGGGCATGGGTCTGGTGCTGAGGCCAATGCCCATGAGCAGCCCCGCAGACAGCAACAAGGAAGCAGTGCTGCACACTGACCTTCAGGCTCGCTCAGGCACCCCCCCACCAAATGGCACATCACGACTTCCCTTCACTGGGCCAGAGAGGCACGTGGGGGGCACAGCCGACCGCCCTGGACAGCAATGACTCCACCAGCAGGAAGGGCAACAAATGTTTATTGGCTTCTCTAAAAGCCGGACCGGAGACGGGTCTTCTCTCCCGATCAGGTTGCCCCATCCCACAGCCCCACCACCCTGAGGTAGTCCCACTCAGAGGTCCCCGGGGAGCCACCCCGACTGGGCAGACACTGGAGATGGGGAGGAAAAAATTTCAGGAGAAGCAATGCTATACAAGGTTTTGTTTGTTTGACAGCAGGTATGGGTAAGGGGGTTCCTGGGCAGGGCTGGCGCCCCGCGTTCCGCGCGGCCACGTCAAGAGACCCACACTGACGCTGGTGGTCAAGGGCAACCAGCCAGGCGACATCAGCCGGAATGCACTGATTTCGAGGCTTTGTGTTCATTTCGCCCTTGGCCCCTTCTCAATCGGCTTCCCGATATCCTTCCCCCGCAGCTTGAGGCCTGAAAGAGCCATTGGCCTGCTCACTGCCACGGTGGCCACTCCAGGACCCAAGAGGCAGGGCGGTGCCACGGTGCCCCCACCCCTCCAACTTGAGGAGGCAGTAGTGCCCACACTGCCCTCTGAGCACCAGCCCCTTCCTCCATAAGAAGGAGCGGTGGGCAGAGGAGGGAGCTGCGGAACACACCAGTCCTGGCCAGCCTCAGCCCACTGTCCTTGCACCTGCTGACCTTCCAGGGCAGAGGGGAGCTGTCACCCCCAGAACCAGACTTGAGTGCTCTGGGAGCCCCACGTACTGGTGCCACACCAACACCGGGGGGAGCCCAATACCCGAGGGGAGGACACCAGGGCCTGAACAGGATGGCCTCTGAGCCCTCTGTCCATGGGCTTGGAGAGCACTGGCCAGCCAAAAGGGACAGAGAAAATGTGAAACTGGCGGGGGGGAGGGATTGTGAGTGACACTCCTGAGCTCCCTAAGGCTCTGCAGAATCCTGCAGCCTCAGAGGCCCTCCAGTGCTTTAGCTGCTCTGCACCTGGTCGGGCAGCAGCAGAGACCCGATGAAGGACCCGAGGACACTCACCGATGGCTCTCTCGATTTTGCCCAGAACCTGGTTATTAGGAATGGCCCGTCCGCTCTCATAGTCCGCGATGACCTGCGGCTTTTCGTTGATTTTCTAAAGGTACGTATTTTGTGGATGGTAATTCGGGAAGGCGCCACAAGACTAGCACACAGCCGAGAGAGTCGCCCCAGGCTCCCCTCCCAGGACAACACCAGGGCCAAGGGCCTTCCTGGGTGTGCCCGCAGAGGATCTGGGGTCTATGTACACTCAACAGGAAGTTACGGCTAATCTGATGTGGCTTCCCCAGGGAATCCCAGAGCAAGCAGGAGTCCCCAAGCTGTGCTGCAACCACCCGCCCGCCTGCAGCCTGGGAGGATGGGGCCCGCCACGCTCACCGTTGCCAAGTCCTTCTGGGTCAGCCCCTTGCTCTGCCGACCCTGCTGGATCACCTTGCCCACTTCCAGAGTCACACGGTCATGATGCAGCTCCTCAGTCTCCCGGTCCAGCTTGGCCGTGTTCTTGGTGATTGAATGCTGTTTGTTCTGGCCAGCAGCCCCTGGACCACACAAGGCAAGATCATAGCATGTGGTTTGCAACAAACCCAAAAAAAGCCAATTCAGAACAGGAAGCAGGCCCCACAGGCACTCTGTGCCACGGTGACGTGGGAAACCAGGTGACGAGAACACAGGGAAGCTCAGAGGCTGGGAGCACAGGGCATCTCCTGCTCCCTTGCTTGCTGACTACACCTAGCACGCTGCTCCACTAAGGTCCCAGCCAGGTTCCAGCTGCGGCAGCCGCCTCGACACCCCTGGTGCATGGCGGGTGCACTAATGCCTGTCACAGGGAGAACCCCAGCAGCACACTCCTCCCTCCATGAGGGAGCACCGGTACTTACATTTCTTCGAAGTCTCCACATCTTCTCCTCGTCTCTGAGCTGCTAAGATGGCCTAGAAAACGTGGACACAGTGTTTGGTCAAACTCAGATATGGCAGGGCTTGTCCAGCACTGAGAAGCAAGGCCGGTCTTAAAACCCAAGCTCAGTTCACAAAAACCCTCTGCCGTCAGGTACCCAGGTGCCTGTCCATAAGGCGCCAACAAGGAAAACCCAGCCCGATTCTCGCTGCTGAGAAGCCACGCTGACCACAGCCCTGCTCCTGCATCAACAGGAAGGAATGCCTGCGCTGGCCCGCCACAGCTTCCCTGGGCCAGTCCATCCTAGCATCAGCCCCCAAACACCGTCAACCAGACCCATACCCTTTGACCTCCACCTGCCAAACGCTAGTAAGATGTATTCCTGAGGACTCTAGCCTTAGAGTGGTGACTGGGGCTGCGCCACGGCTGCTGTGTTCAGAGATGCTTTCTACCCGCGTTCACGGGACTCCTAGCTCCTGACTATTAAGTTTCCACTGGAAAAAAGGACTTTGGCTCGGATCCTGCAGGCTTCAGACCAGCTCTGGGCAGGTCAGCAAATGCCCGTCCTGGGGCCACTAGTCCTGGCTCAAACCTGACAGGCAGGGTAGGCCCTCCACATTGGTCTCATACATGATCACAGGTGGACCAGCCAAGCTAGAGACCTTCTGTCCCTTTCAGGGCACGTCCCCTACGCTCCCGACACCCAGAAGCAGAGTCCACCTATGCCCTGGGTCTTTAGGCACCTGGGCCTGGGGATAGACTGCAGACAGCCAGAAGCAGGTCTCAGAGCCATTCCCCAACCAGCTTCGGACCTCGGGGCGCCTGGACTGCCCCCCTGCACCCTAGTCCCCCGGTCCCTGCCCACCAGTCCTCCCCTTCAACCTCCCCTGGTCCCCTGCTCCACCCCGCTGTCACTGGCCACAAGCCCATCCTGCGCCCATTCCCAGCCTCCGTGACCTGGGGCCTCACCCGAGCCTCCCTCCCAGGCCTATATCACTGGCCCCAAACACTGCGGGGCTCCTGCACACCCAGCCCCGCGCAGCCAGTCCGCGGCCGCGGTCTTGCCCTGGTCCTCCTCTCTCCAGCCCCGGCCTCCGCCGCCGGCCTGCTCCCCCACCCTCTCCCGTTCGCACACCGTCCCCGCCCGGCCATCTCCCTCGCCCAGGTCTCCCGTCTCCCATCCCTGGTTTCGGGCTGGTCCTCCCGCCCCTCCGCCCCCCGCCCCCCCCTCCCGCCCCCAGTCCGCGGCCTCGCCCCGGCCCCGCCCCGCGTCCCTGGCCCACCGGCCGCCCCGGAGCCCCGAGGCCCGCACGGCGCCGCACCTGCTTGGACTTCGCCTGGGCGGCCGTGGGGCCCTTCTTGCGCAGCACCGTCACCGTGTCCCAGTCGCTCTCGGCCATGGCGGGCGGGCAAGTTCGGGTCCGTCCCGCGGTTCCGCGGCAGCTGCTCGAGACCCGGCGGCGCGACGTCCCCTCGTCGCTCGGCCGCTTCCGGCGCCGGCCGCCGACCCGGCCCTGCCTCCCCATTGGCCGGCGGCCGGAGGGGGGCGGGCACTTCCCGCGCCTCTGAGCCAATCTGCGCTCGGCTCGTCCAAGCGAACGGCGGGCGGTGCGCGACGTGGGGCGGGAGACGTCGCGGCCGTGCGCGGAGGGGGCGCAGAGGGGGGGAACCTCGCTGCGGAGCTGGGGCGCAGGCGGTGGCGGGGAGAACGGAGCCCCGGGAGCAGGGGTCTGCGTGCTCGGGGACCGGAGCCGGGTCCGCATTCTCGGGCACCCGGTCGCGCGCTGGGTCCCTGTACGGGAGCTGGTGGGGTCCTAGCACCACCATCTGAAGTGGGTCTCCTCCGCAGCCGAGCTCATTTGCTGCTGCAAAAACGTAGGGGGCGAGGTGAATGCGGGTTTGGGGCGCCTCAAGCATGGACAGTTTGGGGAGGGCTCTTTAAGAAAAAAGTGTAAAAGGATAATAAGGTAGTCATAAAAGTTAATATTCTTGTATAAAACGTGTGTCGTTTGCATAACATTAAAAACGTGCTTGATTTTACAATACTGTAATATTTTGCCGGTCTCTCATGGTAATAGATAAAACGAGAAAAAAAAGTATCTTTAAAAACGGACAAACGCCACAAGCATCACAAAATTTGGGAAAAAATAACATTTGTATAAATTAACAAGTGCATCTCTTCCATGCTTTTCCTTACATTTTTTTTTTTTTTGGCTGTATTCTCTTTGACTGCCATATCATGACTTTGCAGAATTGTTTCATGAAGAAAACAGAAGGGCTATTCAGACATTTACCTAGGGCATTTGATAGAATTTGTATCTGATTGTTGGAATTGACGTTGGTTTGGGTAACACTTGGGATTTTGCATAGATGTTCTTACAGATTTATGCTTCACAAACCCAGAAATTGGGCAGCCCCGGTGGCGCAGCGGTTTAGCGCCGCCTGCAGCCCGGGGCGTGATCCTGGAGACCCTGGATCGAGTCCCACATCAGGCTCTCTGTATGATGCCTGTTTCTCCCTCTGCCTGTGTCTGTGCCTCTCTCTGTCTCTATGAATAAATAAATAAAATCTTAAAAAAAAAAAACCCAGGAATTCTGATAAATGCAATCTCCATCTAAAAAGAAAAAAGCAGGGTATCCCTGGGTGGCGCAGCGGTTTGGCGCCTGCCTTTGGCCCAGGGCGTGATCCTGGAGACCCGGGATCGAATCCCACGTCGGGCTCCCGGTGCATGGAGCCTGCTTCTCCCTCTGCCTGTGTCTCTGCCTCTCTCTCTCTCTCTCTCTCTCTCTCTCTCTCTCTCATAAATTAATTTAAAAAAAGAAAAAAGCATGTGGTATATTCAATTGTTTATACTTTGTTATGAAATACATTTATCAAAGGAGACAACTTTTATCCAGCTCTTGGGGAGAACCAAGCCCCCTGCTCACAATTTGCAGACTCATTCGTGGTTCATACTACAAATTGTTTCTTCACTTCCACAAGTTAATGCTCTGCAGGTGACTGATTGGCAGCCATAGAAGACCCACCTGCCCCAGGAAAGGCTGGCAAGACTGAACATCATGAGAATATCCCATAAACCCTAGCTAAGTGCATCCCAACTCAAGGTTGCCTTAGCAAGGTCCCAAAAACGCCTGTGTTCACCCCAGCGGGTCCCAGAAAGAGTGATGAAGCCCACCTGAAAAGAGGCAGTGGTTCCAACCAATTGTGGTTAAAATCCACGAAGTTCACCAACATTTGGCCAGGTGAACCCACTGCTGGGATGCTGGCAACAGAAGTTACATCAGCTGCATCATGGTGTTGCAACTGCCCTGGTTGGCTCAGACCCAGAGGACGGTTATTGAGACCTCAGTGCCGTCCGCCGACACGGTGTCTGCCATACAGTCAGTCCCATCTAGCCTTGGACAGGAGTCCAGGCCTGAGGCCACAGAGACTTCTGGAGCTCCTTGTCCTTGTGGCACTCCTACCGGAACACAGGTGAAGCAGGTGTCTGTAGCTCCACGAACACTGACGCTCATTGGGGCACTGACGCTCCTCCTACTCTGAGTGCTGTCCAGGGCCGAGTAGCCTTGGGTGTGGAGCCACAGCAGGTGTCACAGAACCACCAACTCTAGGAGGCCTGGTGAGCAGCCCATATTCCTTCCAGAGGTGCTATACCACTCACCTTAATGGTCCTTTGCCTGCATTGTTTACAGTGAGTCCACCAGTGGCACCCATCTACCTTCACATCCAGAGGAGAGAATAAACAATTTTAAAAGCCTTCTGGGAAACAAAATACCCAGCAATTTCTGTATTTCTAAGATAAAGTTCAAATGTTGTATCCCTAACGAAAAACTGACATCAAAGGTTATCAACTATAAATTGTCTAGTAAAACCTAATGAATGTGTGAGTCTGCGCTGCTCGTGAAGGAGGGATTCCTCACACATTGGTAGAATCACAATTCCTGTGATTCTACCTCCTGGCTGTCCAGCCATTGTGTGAGCCCTTCTGCCTCTAAAACATTTTTTTTAATTGTGGTAAAACACACTTAAGATTACCATCTTAACCATTTTTGAGTGTACAGTTAAGTACTATTAAATACACTTGTACTGGGGTGCCTGGGTGGCTCCATCAGTGAAGCATCTGCCTTCGGCTCAGGTCGTGATCCCAAGATCCTGGGATCGAGTCCCGCATTGGGCTCCCTGTTCAGTGGGGAGTCTGCTTCTCCTTCTCCCTCTCTCACGTATGCATGCTCTAATAAATAAAATCTTTTAAAAAGTACACTTGTGCTGGTGTGAAACCATTGCCATCTGCCATCTCCATGACTTTATTTTGTAGAATTGACACCCTGTCTCCCTTAATCACTAACATTCCTTTCTGCACATCCCCCAAGCCCTTGGCGACTACCATCCTCCTTCCTGTGATCTCAGCTCCTCCAGGGACCACCTAGGAGTGGAATCCTACAGTATTTGCACATAGGTGACTGGCTCTCTCAGCGGCATCCTCAAAGCTCATGTCTTACAGCAGGTGTCAGAACTCCCCCTCCTTTTTTGGGTGAATACTATTCCATCATATGTCCATACCCATGTGCTGTGCATCCATCCATCCATGGACATGGGCTGCTTCCCCTGTTAGCTCTTTGGAATAAGGGTAGAATTTCATGATTTTCCACCCCAAACATTTGGTCAGCATGTCGGGCCCTCTAGGTTTAGAAAATAGCACCCTTGAACTTGGGGATATTTTCTTGCACTATTTCTTTGATAACTTCTTCCCCTCTCTTCTCTGCTTTCAGTCTCAGGAACCCCTGTCACTAAGATGATAGATCAAGCCCATCATTGAGTCTCTAATGTTCTTGTTTCTATTTAAAAATTCCTCTCCAGGAGATCCTTGGGTGGCTCAGCAGTTTGGCGCCTGCCTTTGGTCCAGGGCACGATCCTGGAGTCCCAGGATTGAGTCCTGCTTCGGGCTCCCGGCATGGAGCCTGCTTCTCCCTCTGCCTGTGTCTCTGCCTCTCTCTCTCTCTCTATCATAAATAAATTTTAAAAAATCTTTAAAAAAATAAAAATAAATAAAATTCCTCTCCAGGGGTGCCTGGGTGGCTCAGTTAGTGAAGTGACCGACTCCTGATTTTGGCTTGGGTCATGAGATGGAGCCTGCTTCAGATTCTCTCAAAAATGAATGAATGATTGAATTATTTCTCTTTCCGTTCTATTTTTGGGAGGTTTTCTCAATTTATGGCTGTTTTGCTGACCTTTTTTTTTTAATTTTTATTTATTTATGATAGTCACACACACACACACAGAGAGAGAGAGAGAGAGAGGCAGAGAGAGAAGCAGGTCCATGCACCAGGAGCCCAACGTGGGACTCGATCCTGGGTCCCCAGGATCGTGCCCCGGGCCAAAGGCAGGCGCTAAACCGCTGCGCCACCCAGGGATCCCTGACCTTTTTTTTTTTTTACTTGACAGCACATCTAGAATTTCTAAGTGCTCCCTGTTATAATCCACATGCCCCCCTTGTAGCATCCTGTTTCACAGAGTCTGATCTCTTCTCCGAATTTCAGGTCTATTCATATTTTCTTCTGGCACCTGCTCCCCCACCCCCCATCAGTTCTGGCGTCTTTCTCTCAGGCCTCCAACGCCCCTTGGCTACCTGTCATCCTGCACAGCCGCAGCTAGGAGCCTCGTGTGCATGGTAGGATCTTCCAGGGCAGGCTCCTGGTCTGGGGGATCGGGCAAGGGCAGGGTAATTTCTTCTGAGGGTCCCACAGAGCAACATCCTGCTGACCCACTGTCTCCTGCTTAGCCTCACTGCCATCCTCAAAGGGGAGCCCAGCATCCCTGAGGCTTGAGAGCCCGTGCACTCATCATCCACTGCCTGCCAGTGAGGAACGGGGTGTCACCTGCCTGTGCTGGCTGGGGAGGGGACTCAGGGCCCAGCTGTCCTTACACGGATCTCCTTGCAGCCCAGCCTACTCAGACATGTGGGCTCCTGGGTTTGCCCAGTGCCAGTGCACCGTGCTCCTGATGACTCCACCTCATTCTGCAACCCAAACCAAGAGGTAGATTTCATGTAACAAAATTAGCTAAAAGTTCATTGGTTTCTTTCTTTTCTTTCTTTTTTAAGATTTTAGTTATTCATGAGAGACACAAAGAGAGGCAGAGACACAGACAGAGGGAGAAGCAGGCTCCCTGCAGGGAACCCGATGCGGAACTCGATCCCAGGATCCCGGGCTCATGTTCTGAGGTGAAGGCAGATTCTCAGCTGCTGAGCCACCTGGACGTCCCTCCCCTGTGTTTCAGTAGCAAAACAGACCACATTGCTGCAGTGAAGGCTTGAGTTACTTTCCAATTGCAGGGATGTCTGAAAGCCATGAGGATTGGCTTTGGTCACACAAGGACATGAACGGAATAGAATTTCTAGGATGTAGCATGAAATGGAATTTTTAGGACTCCCTACCAAATGGATCCTGCATAAAGTTCTCCCAAATCTGTGGCTTCAAGGGAAAGTAAATTACCAAAGTGAAGGTTAATAAAGAGTGTTTTTTGACCAACGATAGCAAAATAGGTGGGCAAATACGGCTGGGCTGGGTATTAAATATAAGGAGAAAAAGATTGACAAAATCACTATCAAATTTGCAGACATTGAGCCTTAAACACAGAGACTGGGCTATGATATTGTTCATTACTGTTAAAAACGTATATGTTGGGCAGCCCAGGTGGCTCAGCGGTTTAGCGCCGCCTTCAGTCCAAGGTGTGATCCTCGAGACCCAGGATCGAGTCCCACGTTGGGCTCCCTGCATGGAGCCTGTTTTTCCCTCTACCTGTGTCTCTACCTCTTTCTCTCTCTGTCTCTCATGAATAAAAAAATCGAAAAAAACCTCATATATGTTGGCATAAGTATTCCCTTGTTTTTTTTGAAAAGATACAAAGTTCTAATCCTTCATTTTTCCCTCTTTTAAAAAATTATTTATTCATGAGAGACATGGAGAGAGAGAGAGAGAGAGAGAGAGAGAGAGAGAGAGAGAGGCAGAGACACATACCAAGGAAGAAGCAGACTCCATGCAGGAAGCCTGATGTGGGACTCAACCCTGGTACTCCAGGATCATGCCCTGAGCTAAAGGCAGATGCTCAACTGCTGAGCCACCCAGGCAACCCACTCTTTTGTCTTTGTTTTTGTTTTACTGACATGATGTGTACACAAAGTTCAGCCAAAGAACATTTTTACTGCTTGCTTTCTGGCCGCTGTCATCCCTGAATGTATCTCGTGCGGTGGCAGAGGAGGATAGTAAAGGACCTGTCCATCTAGCCGTACATGCTGGAGGGGAGAAAGCAGGGCTGTCACCCTGGGAGGGAGCATGGGCAGCTGGACTTGGCACTGAGGAGCAACTCCCATCAGCTCCATGCAGCTTAAGAATCAGGAGCACGGAGATCAAGCAGGGGGCCAGGCATCGGTGGCTGGTCACTGGGAGAGAAGGGAGGCCAGCTGGCCAGAGAGGGTGAGGGCTGACTGTGTGGCCTGGGGTCTGGGGAAGCAGGGAGGGACAGTGGACAGGAGGTTGGACCAGGGTCCGAGTCCCAGTTGGGTTGAAGAATACTGGCGTACTGGACCAGGGTTAAAGCCAAACAGGTGGGAGCCCCGTTGCAGAGGGCAGCAGTGGTGGGCTAGGGAGTGCCTGCCTGGCAGGGAGAAGGAAGGACCCTGGGGGGGGGGCACTTAGAGCCTCCCAGACATGGGGGGGAGGGAGGGCAGACCTCGGCCAGGTGATCAACTTGGCGGGTCGAATGTGAGCAAAGCCACCCCCAGTTTGCAGGCTCCCAGTGAGGCCACCAGAGCAAAGTTCCTGCGGAGAGCTGGTTGCGGTGCCTCCCCGGCCTGGGTGGGTGGCAGTTCCTGCTGGGGCCGGCAGGCGGCGAGGCAGACCCGCTGCTGCGCTGAGTGGGAGGGGGCGAGGAGGGCCTTGAGGAGAGCAGTGGGGTCTGCCTCCTAGGAGGCCCTGGGGACCTCAGCTCTGTCCACCTATTAGTTACCCAATCATGCCTTCATCTATCCAACCAGGAACCGAACCCTGAATGAGGCCAAAGGGACCACTGACCTCCACAGACCCGCATCTGAGGGAGGAGACAAACTCACAAAATGATTAGAGTCACATGGGGTGAGGGAAGGGGGAACCCTGTCAAACCCAAGGCCACCAGGAGAGAGACTCATCTTCATCTGGAGACCTTAAGGCCTGCAAAGGGCCCAGGCAGGTGCCAAGTTTGGGGCTGGCGAGACTAGGGACCTCAAAACAGCCGACCCCAGGCCAGCAACCTCCCAATAATGCTGCCTTGCCGCCCCAACCCCATCTTCCCCCCCAAACTCTTTATAGACCCCCCCTGCGGTTTGCCTGGTCAAGACTTCCCCGGCCCATGACTTCCTCCATCTCTCCCTCCCCTGTGGGCCGTGGAACCTCGCCCGAGAGCGCATCCTATTAAAAGCCTGTTTCTTTTCTTTCTTTCTTTTTTTTTTTTTTTTATGATAGTCACACACACACACACACAGAGAGAGAGAGAGAGAGAGGCAGAGACACAGGCAGAGGGAGAAGCAGGCTCCATGCACCGGGAGCCCGACGTGGGATTCGATCCTGGATCTCCAGGACCGCGCCCTGGGCCAAAGGCAGGCGCCAAACCGCTGCGCCACCCAGGGATCCCTAAAAGCCTGTTTCGATCAACTTTTGCCTGGCCTCTCTATTCCATTTCACTACCGATGGAATTAAACCTGACACCAAGTACCTGGGAGAGGTGGGAGGCTGGTCCAGGTGAGGGCCTGGCTGGTGCAAAGGCTGAAGGGCCAAGCCTGCCTGGTGAGCAGAGGCTAGGGATGGCTAGGGCAGCCTGAGCATTTTTTGTTTTTGTTTTTGTAGATAACCTCTATGTCCAATGTGGGTCTCAAACCCCAAACCCTGAGACTCAGAGATGCAAGCTGTACCAACTGCACCCTCCAGGCGCTCCAGCCTGGGCATGTTTGATTGTGTAGTGAGGCTGGCTGAAGGTAGGTGGTTGAGGAATAGGGAATCTGCGAAGTTTGCTCCTGTCCTGGGTGGGGGGATTTGGGGCGCTCTTTGCTTTCTTTATGGTACTTTTCTGTTTTCCAGAGCTTCTGCTACTCACAACACGAATGTTTTTCAGGCTATAGTAATGTCGTCAGGCGGGGGTGTGGAGTGAACATGTCCCCTTGTATCCCCTCCTCAACACTCGTTACTTTCAGTATAGCTTTCCGAGTCTGCGGAGGTACGAACAGGCCTGGCAACAGTCATCTGCCTCTGCTGACAGGGACGCTGTGTCCCGCACACGTTGGACACCTTCCTGCTTCTTCACCATGAGTGAACTTCAGCTTGGGCCCCGCTGCTGGGCAGGCTTCCCCCTCCCTACCACCCTGGGACGCCCCCACCACCCGCCTGTCCCAGTGCTGGCTACCGGCAGGTCAGCCACAGGCCTCACCACTCCATGTGTTTCTTCTTTTTGAGGGGCTGCCCTAGGGAGGGGCCGTGCACACTGTGGAGGCGGGGGGAGCCCCTCCTGGGTCGCCTTTCTGGAAAGGTGCTGTCAGATGACTGCACAGTGAGAGCGAAACTGGCTTCCTTTGGAAGCCTTCACGTGGCTGAGAAACGAAGCGAAGAAAAGGCTGGGGCATTAGGGTGGGAGCCCGCCTTGGGGGTTTAGTAGGGGTCCCTCCTCTGGGACCAGAGCTGGGGACCTGAGGGGCATCCTGTGTCCTGGGGGCAGGGAGCTGGGTCAGCCTTCCTGCTTCTGCTCTCAAGGGCCTGAGTGAAGTAAGGGCCTTGGAGGGGAGTGGCCAGGCCCTGTTGCTAGAGGAGCAACAGGACTATCCCTGGGGTACAGGGGATAGCAGGGGGAAGGAGAACAGATGGGGGCGTGGGGGGGCCCTGCCTGCCCTCGAGAGCCACCAGGCCATCAGGCGGAGTGGGTGCAGGAGTCCATAGGCCCTCAGGAGCAGCCAAGGTCCACTACAGCATGGACCCTGATCTGCCGGGGCCCCTGCCTCTCTGAGGGGCACTGGGGGCCCGGGAGAGCAGCCTTCTGCTGCCTCTGGACCCAGGCCTTCAGGGAGCAGGGGGAGCACAATGCGGGCCCTCCTGGGTTCGCCTGGGGCTGCTCCGGGCCCTCCCCAACCCCTCCCACTGTGGTTGCCATGGGTGGAGTTTTGCTTTCTTTTTGGCAGGAAGGAACCTGAGTGGGAATCCCCTGAGCTGCCTGACGACCAGAGTGAGTCACCCCTTTCCACCAGCCAGGACGGAGGTGTCGCTGGGTCTGAGCGGGCCAATGGGGGCAGGTCGGCCACTTCCCAGTCTGGGCTCAGTGGGGGCTTTCTCTTCTGTTCCCAATTCTGCATGCCTCAAAGGCCTGTCAGCAGAGTCAATTTTTTAAACAATGTACTTGTGAAAAAACGTGCTTGTGAAAATCCTAGGAAACAGCAAAGTCAAAGAGCATTTTTGTGCTGAAAGTGCTGGCGGGTCCTTTGAGATTGACCCAACCCTGCAGGCGCCAAGGTCCACTGGGGGCTGCATGCCCAGGAACCAAGGAGTTCGCCAGGGGAGTCTGCAAGGAGTTCGCCAGGGGAGTCTCTTCCAGACTTGGGGCCAGGCCTAGGTGGCCAGGGCCAGGGCTTCTGTGACATTCCTCTCCCCAGGAGGAGCCATCCCAGAAGGTAGGTGCCTGCTTCCTGATTTCACCCTGTGGGAAGGGGGTGGGGCAGTGGGCATTGCTGCAGGTGAACCTCCTCTTTGCTGCAGGAACCATTTCTGGCTGGCACTGGTGGGCTCCCAGGTGTTGGCAGGTGCTCACTTACTTATGGGATTTGAATGAAACCTCAGGGAACCTGGGGGTTGGCCTGGGGAGCTGATGCCTGTGGCCAACCTTACCTCGAGGTTCAGGTAACCAGCCACAGCCTGAGTGCTATCAGAGGCAGGGCAGCCCTGGGCTGTGTCCCAGGACGCAGCATTTGGAAGGGGGACTTCTGACTCCAGAGCAAGTGATGTTCAGGTGAGATGCCAGCGCTTCTGCACCGATATCCCTTCAGAACCTGTTTTCTGGCTCATCCCGTGGGCACCCAGGTGAGCCCCTCAGAGTGGGGCTGTGGGACGTGCTGTGTGACCTGGGGTAAGGACTCTGACCTCTCTGAGTCTTTTGTCTTCTCCTGAAAAATGGAGTGAGCAGTTGGCTGCTGGGAACACGGGGATGAGGGAAGACCCGGCGGATTTGTCAGATACAGGGCAGAACCCATGTTCCGGGAGAGACCGGCTCCCAGCAACCCAGGGGGCAATATGGGGTCAACACTGACCCCTGCCTCTTCCCAGATGCTGACGCGGCTGGTTTTCCTGTGCGGGCCACGGGTTGTGCTTTTGGGGCCTGGTTTGGTGGTAAAATCCACACAACATAAAACCCACCATTCAACCGTGTCAGAGGGCACTGTCGGGGGCCCCTGTGGGCGACCTTTGCCAGCACTGCACTGCCCTGATGGGAGGCCTGTCCTTCCCGCTCTTTGAGGGAGTAGGGTCTTTTTTTTTTTTAGATTTATTTATTCATAGAGACGAGAGAGAGAGAGAGAGAGAGAGAGAGAGAGAGAGAGAGAGAGAGGCAAAAACAGGCAGAGGGAGAAGCAGGCTCCCCTTAGGGAGCCCGATATGGGACTCAATCCTGGATCCTGGGACCACTCCCTGAGCCGAAGGCAGACGCTCAGCCGCTGAGCCGCTGAGCCACCCAGGGGTCCCGCGAGCAGGGTCCTTTTCTGTTTTTTCTCAGAATTCTCACCCAAACTGGGGCCCTGCGCTGAGCCAGACTCCGGGAGGGTGGGTGGGAGTCGCCGCCGCGGTCCCCGCCGGCCGGGCTCTCAGGAGGTGCGCCCAGACCCCCACTCCGCACCGCCGGACGAGTCCAGCGGCCCAGGCCGGCCCGCCGCCCCGCCGCCCCACCTACTGCACCCACCGAGCCCGAGCTCCACTTAAGCCGCCGGGATCTGGCCAATCAGCGTCCGCTGCGGCTCGCCCGGCGCTCCCGGTTGGCCCCCGCGCCAGTCAGTCAGGCGGGCTCGGGGGGCGGGTCCGCGGTGGCGGCGGCTGGGCGCGCGCGCAGTTCCGGGCGCGCGGCGACCGTTGGTGAGTGGAGCGGTGGGAGTCGGGGCCGGGGCCAGGGCCGGGGGCGACCGCGGGGTCCGCGGGGGCGCGGGCGGCGGGGCCCGGGGCGGCGGGCGCGTGCGGCGCGGAGGAGGCAGGGCCCGCAAGGAGGGTCGCCGCCCCGCGGGCCTGAGGGGATTTTTCGGAGCCAGGCCGCCCGGAAACCGAAAGTCGGAGCAGGGCCGGCGCAGGAAAGTTCGTTAACGCCCGCGGGAGTCCACTGCGGCTCCGGCTGGGGGGTCACGGCCCGGGGTCAGCGCGCCGCAGCCGCCCAGAGGCTGTCGGGGGCCTGCGCGCCCCGACCCAGAGCCCGGCTGCGGGGGCTGACCCGGGAGAGGGGCACGAACTCCCCGCGCCTCGGTGACGCCAGCTCGTCCCACGCTCTGCCCCTTCGCCGCCCCCGCCCCCCGCCTCCTGCCGGGCCTCGAGGGCCCTGGGGGTCACTTGAATGGCGGCTGACCCTTGAACCTCCAGGGGTCGGTCTGCACGTAGCCCTGCACCTTTGGAGGGTGTCTGCGCCGCGGCTGCCCTTCCCGCTGGTGGTAGTCGCTGCACATGTGAGCCCCTTGCGGGCAGGGGAGCGTGCCCGAGTTCTGAGCATCCTCGCGTGGGTGCGGGGGCCGTGACAGGTGGTCCCGGGGCCTGCGAGCGCTGGCGGGAGCCGGCTGCTGAAGACGTGGACCCGGCATCGGCCGGAATGGGAATTGCCTGTTCATGGGTCCGGGCAGTGGGGAGCCCAGGACCGGCCTCGGCAGCGGCAGGAGAGCGGTCGGCCCTGCCAGGCCGGGTTACTGTGAGGGCAGCGGATCTGTCCACCCGCTCGCGTCTCTCAGGGGGAGGTCTCAGTCAACCTGCCGGTGTTGCTTGAGTTTTATTAAACAGCCTGAATACTGTGTGGTTTGCACACCAGAATATTCACTAATGCTTGAATCAAAAACACTAAGAGTTGTTTTCCTTCAAGCTTTTTGGAAGCCACAGAGGCCCTTGGCGCTTCTAGCAGTGGCTTCCACACATCTGGTGGCCCCTCTCCCTGGGCACCTGGTTCTCGCAGGAAAGCCCAAGCCCTGAGGCTGGAGCTCCCAGAGGCGAACTGTCTGATGTTGGGCATTTTGGGCCTTCATGCTGGTCCTTTTTTTTTTTTTTTTTTTTTTTGGTGATACTTATTTGAGAGAGCAGCTGCAGCAGGGGGAGGGGCAGAGGAGAGGGAGAGAGAATCTCAGGCAGACTCCCCACTGAATACAAAGCTCAGTGCAGGGCTCATTCCCACAGATTCCACAACCCTAAGGTGGTGACCTGAGCTGGACACTGAACTGACTGCACCATGCTGGCACCCCTATGCTGGTCCTTCTGCTTGCAGGTGCCTCTCCACATGCTCAGTCTGCACCACACCACCCTCCAGTGCCCCACAGTGTCCTCAGCACCATGTGTAGCCTAAGGCAGGAGCCTGCCCACATCAGTGCCTGGTGACCGACAGTGAAGCTTGTGTGTGTACCTTGCTGTTACACTGCCTTGCTGGCTCCCTCGTGGGGGGCTCCAAGGAGAGGGGTCTTTCAGCTGCAATTCTCTCTCTTGAGTGGTTTTTAAACTTCCTTGGGGAAACAAATGCAAATGTCATTATTTGGGGACCTGAAGGAGTAGGCTACAGCAATAGCTATAATTTGGGGAGCAGAGGACTTACAGTGGTCACTTGTTCCTGGAGAAAGCATTTTCTCTAAAAGATAAAGGCCTTTTTGCTTTATGCTTTGAGAATCAGATCCGGGTCCCTTTCTGGTCATGGGAAATGTATGGTCAGTGCACTGGTGGGCAGGTGTCCACGACAGGACATCACAGACACATGGATGGGCAGGAAGGGCAAGAAAATCCACAGAAGAAAATCCAGAAAAAAAATTACCCCCAGAGCATACAAATGATGCCAAGAGTGCAGTGCACATCTTCTTGTGCCTAGTGTGTCTCCCATGGGCTGGGCCAACTCCTTCATGGAGATGGGTGGGAGCACTGTCTCAAGGGCGTGGTCCTTGTGTCCACAGGGAGGGCATGTCAGTCTCCCACCCCTGCACAGAGGGTCTGAGCCTGGGAGGGGTGCAAGAGGCAGATTCCGTGGAAGCCATTCCATGTTTGAGCAGGAACAGGCTTGAGGCCACGTTCCCTTCGGGACCCAAGGGGCAGTGGAGCCGGTGGTCTTGTGACCTGGTTGTGGGTTAGGGAGGTGAGGACTCAGCAGAGGTGGGGGTAGGAGGTAGGATAGGGGAAGTGCCTCAAGGGACAGCTCGTCCAGGATTCAAGATTGGGGTGCTCCACATTGGAATGGTGTGGAGGAGTCTGTGGACGAGCCGGGAGCCTGGGAAGCATTGAGGGAGCTCTTGCACTCCATGCACAGGCTTGGGTCCTTCCTCTGCCCTCCCAGTCCTTGCCTTATGGTGCTTAGCTTACATTCCAGAGGAGACAGGCCCGAAGAGGGAGGCCTGCACAGGACAGTTCCAGTGACGGCTGAGAGGGAAGGCCTTGTTGAGAAACCATGACCCTTGGACAGACAGGGTGGAGGGCAGAGCCACTGGGAGGCCTTGGGGTCTGAGGGTAGAGTAACCGAGGCCCAGCCAAAGGCCCATCAGCTGCCCAAAGGGCTACAGGGGCTGCAGCCAGGGGCCAGAGATAGCGGTTCAGTCAGGTTCTAGGTGTTTGTAGGGGCGGAGCTGTTGGGTTTACTAGCGTGCTCAGGGTGGGTGGGTGAGAGAGAGTGGGCTCTGAGAATTTGACTGGAACAACTGGGGGGGTGGCTGAGGTGGGGGCCTAGCTCTGGAGGGGGCAGGGGCATATGTAGGCACTCACACCCAGCAGTCAGGGAGGGGGTAGGGGAGCAGAGTGGGTGCCTGCGTCAGGGGGAATGGAGGACAGAGTTGCTGTGTCAGGACGGCCAGTCACCCTGTTCCTCTTGAAAGCCCCAGTTTTGAGTCAGAAACAGTATCAGCATGGAGATCATACGAAGACTTGTGAGCCAGCACTTCAGACTGGAAACGCGCCCCCACAGTATTTGCTCATGATGGTTCAGGAGAAACAGTTGTTGGCCATGAAATTGGTACCAGGCTACTATTTGGCATTGTGCTGAGTCTGGGAAAATGTGAACTTAAGTATAAAATTATCATTTTAAAGTGGATTTCTAGTCCTTGGGGGAGGGCAAGCTTGTACTCCTTGCTGCGTGTTGATGGGAGTCCTTGAATATTGCTCAAGTGGGCTTGTTATGCAGGCACGTTGGAAATGGGTGGAACCAGGTGAAATCTGATGTGGAATCCCACGTCACACAGAGCAGAACTGGCTGTCATTGAGGATGTGAATTCAAGAAGGTCAGTCTCTGGCGCCTGGGGTATCTCAGGCTGAGGGTTGAAACCATGTGTCTGTGGGCGGCATGGTGACGCCCACCCCAGCAGCCGGGTCCTCCCTTGGCTCGTTTGGTGGCCAAAGGAGGTGCCTGGTTGTAGTAACAAATGCAGCCTTCCTCACTAACACCACTGCCCACGCTCACGCCCCAGACTGGGCATGGTGGGGCCAGCTGCCTCATGGCCTGCAGCTCAGCCAGTGGTTTCTCGCAGGGATGCCTCTTTCCCTGGGTGCTTGGGCTCCACACAGAGGCAGGCCCTGGGCTTGTGAAGTTGCTGGCTGTTTCCAGTCTCCGGGGGGCTGCTTTCATGGCAGAACCGACTTTTCAGCTTGTTCTGCCAGTTTTAATATTATGAGACAGGGTTGTTTGGGATAAACATGCACAGGTGTACCATAATTAGGGATTTTTTTTTTTTATAATTAGGGATTTAAGGGCCTTTTTTTTTTTTTTTGACTCTGGGAAGAGAAACTCCCACTTTTTTTTTCTTTTTGAAGTGGAGGTCTACGTACAGCAAAATGTACACATCCTAACCATATAGCTAGATGCACTTTTGTCTGTATGGGCATTTCTAGTACCCCAAAAGGCCCCCTTTTGCCGGCATGGACCCCCTGAATGGACAGTAGCTGCGTTTCTTATAGTACCTGTGACACCAAATACGTGGTTCCTGGGACCCCCTCCTTGGGTTCAGTGATTTCTGGAGTGGCTCATAGAACTCCGGCAAACACTAATTGCATGAAACAGCCAGATGGAAGAGGCACAGGGCGAGGTATCAGGCAGGGCCGTGGAGTCCCCCTGCCCTCCAGCACACTAGCCTGTCAGCGCTGTGACATGTCCCCAGCCTGGGAGCTTTCTGAGCCTCGCTCTTCACGGTGTGGTGGGGCCTCTGTCTTGAAAGCATGATTGATTACATTATTGGCCATTGGTGATTAGTTCAATCTCCAGCCCCTCTCCCCTCCCTGGCAGCAGGGGACAGTTGTGGAGGGGCTTGGGAGTAACAGAGATGCTCCCCTGTCCCCATGAGTTGGGAAATCCTGGGGGTTTTAGAAGCTCTGTGCCAGGAACTGACTGGGAAGCAGAGCAAGTACCTAGTGTGTCACAGCACTGTGCCGCCAGAGGAGACAGCTTCTCAGCTTCCGTTAGCAGAGGTCTGTCCTCAAGCTTCAGATAACTGGAACCATTCTGGAAATACAGTTTTATCTCCAGTAGAAATGTCCTTTTAAATAAAACACAAATGTGTTTGTTGTACAAAGTTAGCACATTGGTGTCTGGAGCTTGATTTTGGGGAATGAATGAATGGGAAATCCAGGACAGGCTGAATGGGAATGTTTGCTCACATGTTCCTGCAAATCATTGCAAACGGAGATGGTTCTTGTTTATAACTAACTTACCCGGCAGAGAGGATGTGGAAGCTTGAGAGGACCAGTTTTATTTTGGCTCCAGGTCTGGGTGCTCTTAACTCCTGAGTCCTACTCTATATGCAGCAGCAGCTGGCCAGCCCACCCTCCATCTGGTGCCTGAGTCGGCTGCTGGCTGCGCCTGTCATCTGGGGAGGCCCCCAGGCCCTGTGTGCCTTCAGATGAGTAGACACGTGCACACCACCCAGAAGTTCAGAAGTTCAGGGCCAGAGACAGGGGAGTTTTCTCCTAGGGTTGGGCCAAGCAACACCCCACAGCAGCAGGGCTCGACGATGGCCTTAAAGTGTTACATTTTGGCACAACGCTTTTGAGTCTTTATGATGTCTTTCATTACAGTTCTCAAAAGTTAAAATGTGCTTGTAAGGACAAAAGCACTGGCAATCCCCCAGCACAATACGGGCAGCGGTGGGACTCGTGGTCCAGTGCCGTGGTGCCGGGTGGGCTCCCTGGGCGCTCCAGGGCCACTTCTCCACATTTAGAACAGAAATACAGACCCCCACCATCCGGCTGTGTCAGGTAGATGTGACCACTAAGTAAGCTGTGTTGGTGAGGTCATCGAGGCCTGACTGCCTTTTGGGACCTGTTAACCTTTTTCATCACTCAGAAAAAGAGACCATTTTTCTGGCTCTTTTCTATCTAACGAGTACATGTTGATGGATTAGTAAAATAGGTTCAGTCCTCTACAGGTATGCTTAGTAGATAGAATGTTGTTGCCAAAGGATAAAGCCCTATCTCACAAATGCTGAGAGAAGCTGCTCAGTGAGGTTTTATTTTATTTTAAGATTTTATTTAGGGGATCCCTGGGTGGCGCAGCGGTTTGGCGCCTGCCTTTGGCCCAGGGCGCGATCCTGGAGACCCGGGATCGAATCCCACGTCGGGCTTCCGGTGCATGGAGCCTGTTTCTCCCTCTGCCTGTGTCTCTGCCTCTCTCTCTCTCTGTGACTATCATAAATAAAAAATAAAAATTTAAAAAAAAAAAAAAAAAAAAGATTTTATTTATTTAGGGATCCCTGGGTGGCGCAGCGGTTTGGCGCTTGCCTTTGGCCCGGGGCGCGATCCTGGAGACCCGGGATCGAATCCCACGTCGGGCTCCCGGTGCATGGAGCCTGCTTCTCCCTCTGCCTGTGTCTCTGCCTCTCTCTTTCTGTGACTATCATAAATAAATTAAAAAAAATTAAAAAAAAAGATTTTATTTATTTATTCATGAGAGATGCACAGAGAGAGGCAGAGACACAGGCAGAGGGAGAAGCAGGCTCCCTGCAGGGAGCCCGATGTGGGACTCGATCCCAGGACCCTGGGATCACACCCTGGGCCAAAGGCAGATGCTCAAACCCTGAGCCACCCAGGTGCCCCTGCTCAGTGAGGTTTTAAAACAAGAAAAGCAGGGGCAGCCTGGGTGGCCCAGTGCTTTAGTGCTGCCTTCGGCCCAAGGCGTGATCCTGGGGTCCTGGGATCGAGTCCCACGTTGGGCTCCCTGCATGGAGCCTGCTTCTCCCTCTGCCTGTGTCTATGCCTCTCTCTCTCTCTCTCTCTCTCTGTTTCTCATGAATAAATAAATAAAATATTAAAAAATATAACAAGAAAAGTATCACCATAATCCTTGTATTCTGTCATGATGGTGTTTGTTTCTTATTTTGCTTTTTTCCCCTGTCAGTGTGAAACGTAACTAAGTCTCTTACATGAGATGTTCTATCTCACTTAACATGGTAAACAGAGATCTAAAGAGTGCTGTTTTTTTACTAGCAATATTTAAGGATAAAAGTCCTTGTTTAATGTAGTTTTTACAGCAGTGATTTTCAAATTATGGATGGTTCATGAAGTCAATTTAGTAGCATGACCAGAGAGAAGAAAAAATACGCAGAATGCCTCTTGTGAGAGTAAGCGTACTTTCACGGATCCCTTGTTCTAGTCAGTACTTGTGTAGTCATACAATGGCCTTGAAACAAGTGGGCTGAGGGCATCCTCCCTCCTTGGTTTCCTGGCCAGCACTGTTCGTGCACACATGAGTTCTCGAACTCTGGTTTAGCTCCTCACTTAAGGCTTTATTAAGGGGGCACTTTCTAGTACTTACATGTCCGTGTCCTGAGGGCTCGAAAGAATGAAATCCCCCAGTTGTCAAAGGGACAGGTGGATGGTCCAGGACCCAGACACACCCACACGCCCTAAAAGTGCAGGACCAGCTGGGGGGACTTGTGCCATCCTACTGAGTACCTGTGGGCATAACACCCCGTCTGTCTGGTAGTTGGAGGAGGAAATGTGGGTTCTAACAGTATAACCTGTGTCTGTGGCCTGCCAGCCCAAGAAGGCCCCACAGATTACAGATCCAGAAGTCGTGATTGAAATTGGCTTTGCCCAGTAGATAGAAATAGACATGCCGTCTGTCGCTGCTTCGTGTGGTGTCAGACCGGCTCAGGATGCTGAAGACAGTCTTATGAACACTGGAAAGAGGCTTATCACTTTGAGACATCCTGGTTTGAAAGCTGGTCTGCTCTGTGTGCATCCATGAGAAAACATGAGGTCTGTGCCAGGGGCCTCTGGGAAAGGAAGCTCTTTGGAGCATTTGCAAAGGGGTCATAGTGGTTCTGAGTTAACGTGCTTCCTGGCCAGGGGCTATTGGGCTGTTGTCCTTTTTGAAAGGTTAGCAGGTACAGTTGCTTTTGGCTTGTGGAGATGCTGTACGTTGAACAGTGTGTTCCATGCAAGGTCTCAGAACGCTCTGGGAGCTTCTCCCCTGCCTGACTCACAGGTCTGGTTGCCTTGCCTGGGGGACCTTGCCATAGCCCAGTGGATGGCAGAGGGCAGCTCTCAAGGCGGAGGGACCCTGGCAGCGATGGTGACATCAGAGAAGCCAACAAGTGCAGTGGCCATCTGCTGGCCGCTGCCTTGGGCCCCTGCACAGGCAGGTCAGAATTTCCTGCCGGGCTGATGTGTAGGAAGCTGGACAGGAAGGCACCCGGATCAGGCTCTGCAGATGGCCAGTGCTGGTGGGAAGGGCCCTCAGATGTCCGCACATGCTCTGCCCATGGGTCCCGGCACAGTGGGCTGGGTGACCTTGGGGATAGCCTGTTGGTCTAGGGGCCCTGGGATGGGCGTGTTGGTGCATCCTGAGCAGGATGCCACCCTGCTGAGCCTCGGTTTCCACGAGTGTAGTAGGAGATTAGGTTCTCAGAGGGCGAAAATCCTGCCTCGCAGATTCTTGACCGCTGCTCAGCTTGATGACCCTGCCCCTCACTGCTGGGCACGGGGAGAACCCTCCGTGACGCGCTCTGTTCTTCCTTAGGGTGTGGCGGTTCCTGGCTCTCATGGCTGCAGCCAGCGTGACTCCTCCCGGCTCCCTAGACTTGTTGCAGCCTGGCTTCTCGAAGACCCTCCTGGGGACCAAGCCGGAGGACAAGTACCTGTGCTCAGCCTGTAGGAATGTCTTGCGCAGACCCTTCCAGGCCCAGTGTGGCCACCGCTACTGCTCTTACTGCCTGAGCAGCATCTTGAGGTACTGTGGGGGCAGAGGGCGGCAGGCTGGCTTGGGGCTCTCCTGCCAATGGAGGCGGTTGCAGGCATGCACATGGCTGTAGGCATGCACGCGTCCGTGGGAGAGTGCTCCAGGGGGTGCTCCCTGACATCACCTGCAGAGGTTCCCTGCAAATGAGAGCGTCAAGTTAGTAACTGAAGAGGGTGGGTTGCGCTTTGACTGGGTGCTCGGGATGCAGGGACTGCAGTAAACATCATTATGGCCTGTTTCCTGTGTTCCTAGTTTGTCATCCAGACACAGGACTGTTTAGAGTCCCATTCTTGGTTCATGTTGCATTTGCATCGAATGCGCTGCTCTAGATAAGGAATACATACTCAGAGCCTGTAGCAGTCAGTCTGAGGGCAGGCCCCTGTGGCACATGGAAGGCCAGAGTGGGCACAGGAGCCAGTACCTCATTCCTGGGTACCTGGCCCTGAGCAGTTGGCCATCTGAGAGCACCTCTGTTCACACTGGAAGGGGTTGTTGTGATCAGAGGGTTTGGATCATCTCACCTATCTTATAAGGTTTTCAACACGGTCCCTTACACATGCTCATGACTGATGCAGTGTCAGTCTCCAGGGCACAGAACACGGCTGAGGGAGAGCTGAGCTTGGCCCATGGCCTGTGGTCCACAGCCTTCCTTCCAGCACGGTTGACGGCAGGCCTTCGCCCTTTCCTCACTAGCTCTGGGCCTCAGAACTGTGCCGCCTGTGTTCACGAGGGCATATATGAAGAAGGCATTTCTATTTTGGAAAGCAGTTCGGTAAGTGAAAAGACTTCGAGCAAAAACTGTCAAATGAGCAGAAAATGTTTTGGCATTTCCTTTAATAACACTGAGCAGCGAGGATGTGCCCCTCCCTGCCTGGTCACATCTAGAGCTTGGAGCAGCTGCAGGGGAGGTGTTTTGGTCCTGGGGCCCGGTCTGGAAGCCTCGCAGCATTGGTGGCGGGTAGGCGGTGGGCAACTAGGAGGAAGCCTAACCGTAGGAATGCTGTCCTCAGGCTTTTCCAGACAACGCTGCACGCAGGGAGGTGGAGAGCCTGCCGGCCGTCTGTCCCAACAATGGCTGCACCTGGAAGGGGACCCTTAAAGAATATGAGGTAGGGGCCCCCTGCGCTGGCCTGACTTCCCAAGCCTGACCCCACCCCCAGAGCAGCACATGGAGCCTGTGGGAGTCCGCCAGGAGGAGCATGCAGCTGCTTATGATACGTGCACGCAGATGTAGGAGTCCAGGGAGCATGGCCTCGGGAGGGGGGTTTACCTTGCTGGACCCAGTCTCATCTGTGGAATGCTGGGGTGGGGTGGCAGCGTGTGGCTGACCTTGGGCTAGCTCTGAGGGCATCTGCAGCATCTCCTGTAACATGCGGGAATGAAGCTGTTTTGCTCGGTGGGATCTTTCAATGTGTTTTTAGGCAAAGGTTTTCTCATTTTGCGTTGTATAGACAGTGGACATTCCAGAAATAACCTGCAAGTTCGGTCTGTGGGCATAGAAAGGCATCTGGCCAGTGACAGGGCAGTGGCTGGTGGGCATATCTCGCTGAGGCCTGTCTCAGCCTGGCAAGGCTGGCTTGCATCCCTGCATCGGCACGGTGGGGCTTCTGCGTGATTGGCAGCTGGCAGCCACACCTGCAGTGTGGAGGCTCAATAGATGCCAGCACTTGTGTGGCCTCCGTAGGCTCATTTGGCCGTCCCCTCTGCTTAACCAGTGCAACTCAGATGGTTACTCACACACAAATGTCATGGCAGTCAGGTGTCCCCCACCTGATGAAGGGACAAACCAAATGTGGTCTGTCCCTGCCATGGAATAGTATTCGGCCATAAAAAGGAAGAAAGGGGCAGCCTGGGTGGCTCAGCGGTTTAGCGCTGCCTTCAGCCCAGGGCCTGATCCTGGAGACCCAGGATCAAGTCCCACGTCAGGCTCCCTGCATGGAGCCTGTTTCTCTCTCTGCCTTTGTCTCTGCCTCTCTCTTCCTCTCTCTCTGTGTCTCTCATGAATGAATAAATAAAATATTTTTAAAAAGTAAAAATAAAAAAATAAAAAGGAAGGAAGGAAGAAAGTCCTGACGCATGTGAGTGGACTTTGAAGACATTGTGTTCAGTGAAATGAGCCCATCCTAAAGGACAGGTCCTGTGGGAGTCCACTCCTGTGAGGGCCCCAGAGCAGTGAAAGCTAGAGGCAGGAAGTGGCAGGGTGGCTGCCAGAGTGGGAGGTTGGAAGGTGCAGAGGCATAGGTTGGCCTTTCAGAGTGGGCAGCCCATTGGTGAGGCCGGGGAACTGTTGGTATGGCACCCGGGTGCCTAAGCTGCCCCGGCGCCGGGCCAGCCCTGCCCACTGGATGCTGAGTCGTGACGGTAGCAAACAGCCTGTCAGGATTGGAAGCGGGACCTGAACTGCTGGTGGGCTTCTCCCTCTTGTTGCCGGCCTGCATGCTGAACTCTGCTCATTCTCTTGACCAACCAGACTTTCTGGTCTTCAGGCTCTAAGCCGTGTGTTTCCAGAGGAGGGGCCCCTGGTGGGGTAGGCTAGGAAAGGCACTTCCCTTCCTGTGGGTGCTGGGGGCCTGGAAATGGAGCAGCCCTAGGCTCCCCGCACCCTTTCTGATGCCTTCCTGGGTGTGAGACCCAGAGGCCCCCAGTGCTGCACACATGCTGGTGGGAAGCCCTGCTCAGCAGAAGGGGTCTGCACTGTTACTCCCGGGGCAGTCCAGAGAGTAGGCCTCAGGTTGGGGTCTCTCCTGGGAGGGTGGAGAGCCCAAGCAGGCTGTGGGGGTCAGGTGTGCAGGAGACCCTGTGGGGTGCGAGGAACAGGCATGGGGAGCGGTGCTGCCTTCCGCGGGGACCCAGAGACCCTCTGGGGACGTGGGAGGACCCCCACCTTCCAGTCTGAGAGGCTGGTTTCTGCCTGCTGCAGCCGCGGGGTATGGATGATGCTAGCGTAAGGGGCCTCGGGCTGTGGGCCAGGGAGCGTAGCCAGCCTGTGGCTCGGCTTCAGCCCGGCAGGCACGCGGGCTGGAAAGTCCCTGGCTGGCCCAGGAGCCCTGGAAAGTCCCTGCAGGGGTGGGTTTGGTCATGTGGGAGGGCGGGCACTGCTCTGGGACTCTGGGCCTGGCCCTTGGGTGGAACCTCGGCCTGGCGGTGAACATCTCCGGCCTGGGTGAGATCAAGGCTTCTACACACACCCGCCACCTCTGGGCCAACGCAGCTGCCTTTGGTGGTACTCGCACTCGTGGCATTGTAACTTGCTGGTGCTGTGGCTGAACTGTTTGGAAAGTCCTGGTTAGCCTTTGAACATGGTTTTCTTTGGCGATGAAGTCTAGTATTTTCTAAGAACCCAGTGACTTAAAACTCCAGTTCAGGTCAAAGGCATGTGTGGAGTGCCTGCCAAGTGCCAAAGGTGCCAGGGCACGCAGCCCCCAGGCTGCTCTGGGAGTGTGCGTAGGGGCCTGTGGCTGGAGACAGAGGCGGGGCTGGGAACAGGTGGAAGACGCCAGAGGGGAGCGTGGGTGACTGGAGGCTGAACAGCGAGGCTTCGTCGGGTGTGCTCGCTCTCTCCCCCCACGTCCTGGTGAGCTCAGAGTCAAAAGGGCTCTGTTCGTAGAGGCTCTTAGTTTGAATTCTGGTTGAATAAAGACTGATTTCTCCAAAGCGTGTGCTTCTCTCTGATCCCATGAGGGTGGTGGTGCTGCGGGCCCATCCAGAGGCGGCCCGGGGGTGATGTCAGACGGGCTGCAGGGGTGGTGGTCAGCAGTGGGTGGTGTACCCTTGCCCATCTCGGTGGCTGCCGCTCTGTGCTGCTTTGGGGGCCCACGTCGCTCCTGCAAGTATCTTGTTATGTGTTAATCAACATTCTTAATTAAATTCAAGCACCTTAACTATAAGGGTTCTAGTTTTTCCTTTTTTTTTTTTTTTTTAATTTCTTCATGGGAGACACACACAGAGGCAGAGACACAGGCAGAGGGAGAAGCAGGTGTGCTTAGGGCCTGTGGCTGGAGCCTAATGTGGGACTTGACCCCGGAATCATGCCCTGAGCTGAAGGCAGATGTTCAACCACTGAGCTACCCAGACGTCCCTGGTTTTTCCATTTTGTGACCTATGGTTATCTCTGAGACTCCTTGGTTCGCTTTGACTGTTGATTAGGTACTGGATGTGGCCCAGACATTGCCTCCTATTGGGCCATGGTGGGCTGTGCGTTGTCCCAGGGACCCTGGGGTTCAGGGAAGTCTTGCCCTGTAGCAGTGCAGGTGGGCCATGGGGGGCTAGGCCATGTTTTCAGCTGGGAGCTTTGGAAAAGCTGTGGGCAGGGAGTGGCTGTGAGACCAACAGGCTGCAGTGACGGGGTGGGGGTGCCCCTGGGAGGCTGCACTCGAGTTTGTCCTCTGCTGGGCCGCAGCATCCAAGGCGTCGTGCGGCTGAGTGTGATCTGGCTGGCCTGCCTGGTGTGTGTCCTTCTGACAGAAGCTGGGGCCTCGCATGGCAGCGTATGGGGTGCTATGTTGGGCCACCATGGGGTCACCAGGGAGTTGTGCTGGGAGTGTGCTATTGGTCTGGGCTGCTGTGTCCCCATGGGAGGTCAGAGGGCAGGGATGCCTGCTCTGGAAGGCAGAGTGGGGGGGTGGTCCCCACCAGATGTGACAGAGTGGGGGGGTCCCCAGCAGACGTGGGGGGTTCCCCACCAGACATGGACATCTGAGGTCTCCGTGCGGGAAGGCTTGTAGGAAGGGCACCGCATGTGTGCCACGTCTCCGTGGTCTTGGCCCGTTGTTTCTGCTCCCTCTGGACATGCTGGGCTTTGGCCCCAGCAGCCAAGCCTGCGGCTCAGGATGGAGACAAGGCCAGCACGTTCCCAGCCCAGGAGCAGCATGTCAGAGGCCTGCCCTGTTCCTCTCAAGTGCACCACGAGCAAGCTCTCCAGGGTAGCCCTGAAGACCCAGGCCCTCAGGAGGGCACCTCGGCCCAAGGCTGCCCCAGCCCAGACCTTTGTGGAGCTCCTGAGCCCATGGCGGAGGGCCTCCTCCTGCTCTGGGCCAGCCCAGAACTTTCTTCTTGCAGTGACCTCTGCCTCCTGCCCCAGCAGGCTCCACATCGTCCCCAATGTCTCCCTAACACTTAGCATGGTGCCAAAGTACAGGACGGATGCTGGTGGAGCGATGACTCCCAGGAGGCCCAGAGGAGTCGGATCCACAGACACGGGGGTTGGGGGGAGGGCAGCCGGGGGGGGGGGCAGGGTTTAACAGGACAGAGTCCAGTCTGGAAGACACACGGGTCCAGGGGATGGATGAGGGGACTGTGCACAAGGTGTGAAAGTGCCAAGGCTCTTAAAAGTGGTTAAGACAGTAAACTATGTTATATATATTTTACCACAATAAAAAACAACAGCAGAGAAACCCTGAGCTCCCCACTCCTTTACCCAGTGCCCCTTTCTGTTCCCCCTCATGGCCAACTTCCCAGGGCAACTGTCGGCTGTGTTGGATTGTGGGCTCGGGGCCCTGTGGTGGGGGGACAGGCTGCTGGGTCCCTCATGCTGCCCTGGAGGCATTCCCACCCTCCCCACCTTGTCTGCCACCCCCTTTCCTCCCAGCTGCCTCCCACCACACAGGGCTCTGTGGCTCCTGAGGGGGCAGCGTGGCCTCTCTTCCCTCCACCTCGGCCACCTTCTTCCTGGGTGCTGCCCACTGGAGGGCCCCAAGCTGGGCCTGCTGCCCTGGGTCACTACATGCCCTTGCTGGCCACGCCCCCCGTGCAGGCTGTTGGTGTGGGTGCGGGATGAGTGGGTGGGCTCCAGTCCTCTGCTTAGTCTGGCTACCGTGGCCTGTCCTCACAGCACCTGGACTCGTCACTCCTGTGCCTTTTGTTCACTGAGAACCTGCATGCTCTGGGGCTGACCATCCTGCTCTTGGCCGCTCTGGGGCTCTGCCCGGGGCCAGGGCTGTGCCGCCCCTTGGAGCGCCCTCCTGCCCCACCTCTCTGTACCCACTTGGCCCTGGCCCTCCATGGCCCCTCTTAGTCCCTGGCCGTTGGTCCTGTTCTCCCTGAATGGCACTGCAGCACCCACAGGGAGGGAGGGATGCTTGGGCTGTCACGTGGGCGGGGAGCAACCAGTCTGTGAGTTCCTGTCTGACCCGGAGCACAGGTGTCCTAGTGAATGAAACTGGCCCTGGGGGGGTTGGTGCAGGGGCTCCGTGGTCCAGCCCTGAAACCCCCCCGGAGCCTCAGTGAGGGCAGCTGCCTGTGGTCACACACGGAGCCCGGTGGTGGCAGCCTGTGGCATCCCACTGTGCACCCTGTTGATGCTTTGCCACCTTTGTTGCCAGAGCTGCCATGAAGGACACTGCCCGTTCATGCTGACTGAGTGCCCAGCTTGCAAAGGCCTGGTTCGCCTGGGGGAGAAGGAGCACCACTCGGAGCACGAGTGTCCAGAGAGAAGCCTCAGCTGCAGGCACTGCCGGGCACCCTGCTGCTGGGCTGACTTGAAGGTGAGGGCACCTGGCCGTGTCCCCAGCCCGGCCTTGTGAGGCTGTCACCATGGCCCCAAGGTTACTGTCCTGCCCTTGCGGCTGGTTTGACGTTTTTGCCATGTGCCGCTGGCCCTTCCTTGCACCCGCTTGGGTAGAAGGTTCTTGGTGGGGAACTGGGTTGGGTATGAAGGCAAAACTCAGTCGTTTTAGAAAGCTGCTTTATTTTAGAAAAATTAACATGCAGAGAGCAGCTGTGCCAGGCCCATGCCACCTTCACTGTCCAGTTGGCACACGCCAGGCGGCATCAGGCTCCCCACACTTCATGTGTGGGCCCCAGGCTCTGTGTCGTTTCTTCTGAAAACTTGAGAATATGTATCTGAGCGTGTTTGTTTTCAGAAACTTGAGAATGTATATCTGAGCATGTTTGTTTTCAGAGAGCTGTATGTGTTACTGTCACCCTGAGTCTTGATGGTGCCTACCCACCACACCAGGCTCACTTGGCACCCAGGTTTGCTCATGTCTCTGAGCGTCTGTTGCCATGCTGCATCTTGATGATGTGTCTACAAGGTCTCTTCATCTTTAATGGTGCTCCGGGGGTGGGTGTCTTTTCCTTTGCTGCTTACTTATTGAAGAAGCTGGACTGTGCATTTGGCCAACTGCGTCCCCAGGAAGCCCTTGCTGCCCCTGTCACCCTGTCCCCTCCCTGAGCCATTCCACCCAGAGGCATGCCCACGGCCAGGGTGCATTTGGGCACCAGAGGTGTGATCAGAAAGTCCCGCCAGCCTTGCTCTTTGGGGTCACAGTGGCTACTGGCTACCCTCCATGGCCTGGTTTCAGCTAGGGTGACCAACAGCAGCGTTGTCCCCAAGTCCATCGGTGGCTTGTCCTTCTGTCAGGACAAGCTGTCAGATGGCGAAGTGGTTCTAGTCTCTGGTGCTTCGGAGTGCCTGTAGGACCCACCCCATTGGGGGTGTCAGGGGAGCTGCAGCCCAATGACAAGGCCTTGCAGCAGTGCAGGTGACCCCACCCACACCCCAGCTCCTGACCGCTGTCTTTCAGGCACACCATGAGGTCTGCCCCAAGTTCCCCTTGACTTGCGATGGCTGTGGCAAGAAGAAGATCTCACGGGAGAAAGTAAGTTGTTGCCCAGCACCTCTGAGGCCAGTGGGGGGTGGGGCTCAGACCTGGGGCCCGAAGGAAGGGTATGGGCTGGTGGCCATGGGCTACTTTTTTGTTATACTTCTGAAGATGGAAATGACCCATCCTGGGCAGAAGTCATGTGCGCCTGCCCCCACACTGCCTCTTGTCCAGAGCACTCCGTGGCAGGTTTTTTTTTTTTTTTTTTTAGATTTTATTTATTTGAGAGCCTGAGAGCATGCGAGCAGAGTGGGGTGAGGGGCTGGGGGACAGGGACAAGCAGATCCTCACTGGGCGCAGAGCCGGATGTGGGGCTCGATCCCACCACCGCAAGGTCACAACCTGAGTGGAAACCAAGAGTTGGCTGCTCCCTCAGTGTGCCACCCAGGTGCCCCCCGGGGCTCCATTTTAAGAGAAAAATACATCGTGGGTTCATCCTGGTAGTTCTGGTTTCGATTTTTGCCTGCTTTCTGTGTTTGTAGCTCTTTTTGCTGCAGGGCATCTTGGTACTTGGTTACCTTAGCACGGTGCCTGATGAGTGCTTTGTCACTGCTGTACGCGCTGCTCAGTGACAGGGTGCTGGCGGTGCTCTTTCCAGCTCCTTCCACTCAGGGGAGGCGCTGTCAGGCGATGTCCGGTGGTCCCTTCCGGGAGGCAGTCTCTCAGTGGTGAGCTGCCATTTGTCCCTTGGTTTGCAAGTCTCAGAGGTTGCCTGCTAGAAAAAATTGGTAGTTTTGTAACAGGGTTCTGTGGGTCCAATGTGACCGCCAGGGCAAGTGTTCCTGCCCCGCCATGGTGAGGGGACATGCTCGGGGGCTCATCCTGCTGTGGCTAAGAAAGTGTGTCCCAGGGCTGGAATTTGTAGCTCTCGAATCATGAACGTGCCTGGGGTTTTCTACTTAGGGCACCTGCATTTCTGTCACCAGGGACTCCTGCCCGTTGCTCACAGTGGGGAGAGAATCCCAGTCCTTCTTTTTTCTGTTTTTGGAACTCTCAGTGTCGGGTAGCTTGGGTCACAGTCCCTTGTCCTTTGACTTTGTTTGTCTTGTCTGTGTTTCCATTTGGTGTCCGTCATTCCAGGGCCCTGGGCGATGGAGACAGAGGGACTGCTTTCCAGTTGTCCTATGGTGGCCCCCTGCCCTCATGCCTGGGGAGCAGCCATCCGCCTCCACCTTTGCTGGTGGGAGGGGCTGCCTGCGTCTGTGCCCAGCATGTGTGCAGTTGAACTCTTTCTGGGTTGTCCATCTGTCCTTTTGGGCTCTGTGTTGCCATGTGCCAGCGCCATGCCAGGTCCATGATGCGTGTCCGGCCCCTGGTCAGGCTGGCCCCACCTCACCTCCAAGGCTCTGGGGGCCTCAGACACAATGCATCCTACGAGCCCAGGACCGGTGTCGGCAGGTGCACTGAGACACTGGCCCACAGTGAGAGGCCTTCAGCCTGCACCCCCTCCCTTGATTGACACCCGCAGGCTGTGTGTGCACACATTCTTGTCTGTGTGCACAGTCGCACCTTTGGCTCTGGAATAGGGTTGCTGGGTTTGGTTCAGCATGACACCGAAGAGGGGGTGTCCAGCCAGGGCACAGGTGGGGAGAGGAAGTACAGGTACTCATGGTGTCTGGCCTTCCAGTTCCAGGACCACGTCAGGGCGTGTGGCAAGTGCCGAGTCCCCTGCAGGTTCCATGTTGTCGGCTGCCCTGAGATGGTGAGTCCTGTTGGCTGTGGCTCTGCCTGTGCCAGTCCCTGTTTCCTGAGTGGGGGCCTTCTTCCCGAATGTGGTCTCTGCTTGGCCTCCAGCCTGACCTCCTGGTTTCCTTCCCACTTCTGCTGCCTCCTCGACTCTCAGGGGTCCCAGCCTCCATCTGGGCTTAGCTGTGTCTACTTGTCCTTCTGGTGCTCTCATGGGGCCCTCTCTTTGACCACCTCTCTCTGCTGAAAATGCCCAGCGCCTTGTACCTCCCTGATACCTGGGGGTGTCTCGGGTCTCAGCTGCATCCTGGGCCTCCCGCTCCCACCCCATCCTCCCACCTGCCCAAGACAAGCACCTCATGTCACCAAGCTGTTCCAGCCCAAGCCCAGCAGTCACTGTGGGCCCTCCCCTTGTCTCCTGTATTACATCCAGTCCACTCAGAGAGCTGTGCTGCCTTTAGACGGGTCTCAGACTGCACCTGCCTCTGTGGCCTGCGTGGCCCTAGCTGCCTCTGACCTCATCTCTGGGCTGGTCACCAGCCTGGCTATCCTTGTGCACACTGACCTGTTCCTGCCTCAGGCCTGGGCAGTTCTTCTGTCCATGTGGCCTCTCCTCTTCTTTCCCCCACTTTGTTCTGTCCCCCGGGGATGGGAGTGTGCAGCGCCCCGGCTCTCTGAGGGCCCTGGTACATGGCTGGCGCTCTGCTCCTCAGAAACACCCGGGCAGCACTCCCATGCCAGTCGTCCTTGACACCTGGCCTCAGGTGTAGTCCACAAGGATGGCACCTCCTACTTTTACTCCTCTGTGTTTGCTGTGGTGCTGGCCCATGCCTACACAGGCCTGGGCCCCCATGTGGGTGCTGCCAGAGGCCCGAGTATGTGCCCAGGGTGTGGCCACCACAGCCTTTCTGTGGTCAGACATGGCCCCAGGGCAATCCCACCTGAGGGTAAATGTTGTCCTGAGCTCATCGCTCTAACCCTGACCACAGGACCCTGGCCCCGTGGCATGTGCACACTGCCCCCAGTCTACCTCCTGGACTGGCAGGGGGCATCCTGTCCCAGCACCACCAGGGAGGTGCTCTCTGGGCACAGGGCCTGGTAGGGTTCATTTGTTTCTTTCTACTTTTGATGTTTTGAGAGTGTCTAACTCCTTTATTTTTATTTTTTTAAGAGATTGATTTATTTGAGAGAGAAATCTGTGCACAGGCATGCCCCACTAGGGAGGGCAGAGGGAGAAGGAGGGGGGGGATTGCAAGCAGACTCCAAGCTGAGCACAGAGCTCAGTGCAGGGCCTGATCCCACGACCCTGAGATGGTGACGTGAGCCGAAAACAAGAGTCAGACGCTTAACCAACTGAGCCCCCAGGTGCCCTTGAGAGTGTGTAACATTTTAAAATTTCTTGTGAAGTTTTAGAAGAAATGTGGCTGGAAAGTCAGGACAATAGATCAAAAATACTTGGAGATGGTTAGCTTTATTGGTCTCCCCCACCCTTCAGTGTGTCCTTTCTTGTTTCTCCAAATACAAGCAGAGAAGTTATTGGGAAGGTTTGTATTTTTGGAAGATTTGACTCACAATAGTGACAGGTGATATACCAGCAAGTGAATGGTATGGAGATGTCAGAGTCGCCTCACCTTGCGGTGTGTCCACAGGGCTCTGGGTCAGGGCTGAGTACAGGTGCAGCACCAGCAACCCTCTCTGTCTTCTCTTTGCAGGTGGAGAGCGAGAAGCAGCAGCAGCACGAGGCCCATTGGCTTCGGGAGCACTTGGCCATGTTGTTGGGCAGCCTCCTGGAGGCGAAGCATCTCTCAGGAGCTGGTGGCCCCTTCCTGGGTCTGAGCGAGATGGGGGGCTGGGAAGCCAGCACACTGCACCCCGAGGCCGAGCTCTCCAAGGCCGCAGAGCTCCAGCAGCGGTGTGAGGCCCTAGAGAGGAAGACGGCCACCTTCGAGAACATCGTCTGTGTCCTGAACCGGGAGGTGGAGAGGGTGGCCATGACCGCTGAGGCGTGTGGCCGGCAGCACCAGCTGGACCAGGACAGGATCGAGGCCCTGAGTAACAAGGTCTGGGCCTAGGGCATTTGGGCCAACCTGGGCAGGACCCAGGGGCATCTTGGGGGCTCAGAGCTGGGGTTTTATGGATGGCACCTTGTTTCTATCAGCATCCTTTCTGCTTTTGCTTCCTGTGTCCCTGAGCCGAGCGCCTTTCTGAGGCCTGCTCACTGATGGGCCTGCTGTGGGGTCCTAGGGGTTGCTCCAAGGCAGCCTTTCCTCCCTGGCCTGTGGGGGTAGAGGTAGCCACAGGGAATGGGCCTCATGACTGGTGTGTGTTCCTGAGTGCACTTTCTGACACTTGGGGTGGACAGAGCCACTCGAGACGGCTGAGCCCAGGGAAGCCTTGGGGGCCCTGGAAGGGGCCATTCTGCCCAAAACTGGTGGAAAGATGGGTGTGGGGCATGTTCATAAGCACCTTCCTGCAAAATGAAAGGAGGCCTGTGAGAGGCCACTAGGTGGAGACCTGCAGCCCCTCCGCTGGTCCCCCAGGAGGGACGTGCCCTCACGGGGCTCCCCGGGCCCCCAGGTGCAGCAGCTGGAGAGGACCATTGGCCTGAAGGACCTGGCAATGGCCGAACTGGAGCAGAAGGTCCACGAGATGGAGGCGTCCACCTTCGATGGCGTGTTCATCTGGAAGATATCTGATTTTGCCAGGAAGCGCCAGGAAGCTGTGGCCGGCCGCACACCCGCCATCTTCTCCCCAGGTACTATTCTGAGACTCGCCCTCGGAGGTGCTCACAGGCCCCCAGGCTGGGGCCCCTGCAGGAGGTCCCTCCTGCTGGAGGTAAGGGGGCAGGAAGAGTTATGGGGCAGCCTCTAGGCAGAGCTGCCTCAGGATCCCATGGCCTTCCCGAATGGGGCATGCGCTCAGGCTTCCTGGCCAGTCAAGAAGCTTCTGGGTGGGGAGCAGTCTGTTCGGGGCACGGTCCTCTCTGCACTGGACCCAAGCAGGCACCTCCTTGCTCACACATTCCCTCAGGAGTGGGGCCCTACCTGCCGATGGGAATTTCTTTTGAATTCAGCTCCGACAAAACCTGGCTGAGGACCAGACTGAGGGTTGGGGGTCAAGTGCAGGCCCCAGCCAGGCAGCAGGGCCATGTGCGGGAGCCGAAGGAAGGCTCCAGAGGCGGGACCAGGCCAGCTGGTGCTGCCATCAGGTCTGGGCCCCCGCGGGTCTCTGGGCACCCTGCTGGGGGTCGGGGTGTCACCTGTGGCCTGTCTCAAGTTCTTATCCCCCACGGTCCCCTCAGGTAGGGCTCAGGTCTGACCGTGGCCCTTTGCCTAGAGCTCGAGCCGCCACTTAGCCTCACAACTGGTTCCTGTGGGCCACGGTGGGCTTACATTTAGGGTTCTTGGAAATGCTTTCCCTGAGCATTTTTCCTTTGGGGGCATTTGTCTTTACTGGGAACTAAGTCTGTCCCTTGAGAAAAAGTTTGTGCCCCCAAAGCTGGGTGTTTTTCTCTGTGTTTCTTGGGGAAGCCCTCGGCGGAGCTTACCAGCCCCTTTCCCCCTCCGCAGCCTTCTACACAAGCAGGTATGGCTACAAGATGTGTCTGCGCATCTACCTGAACGGAGACGGCACGGGGCGTGGGACACACCTGTCTCTCTTCTTTGTGGTGATGAAGGGCCCCAATGATGCCCTCCTGCGGTGGCCCTTCAACCAAAAGGTGTGTGGGGCTATCCCAGTGGCATCCCGGGGCCCTTGGGGTGGCGAGGTGGTCAGGCTCCATATGGGTCTGTCACGGCCCCTTGGGCGGCACTTAAAGAGGCCAGCTTGGAGTTGGTTCCAAAGGAAGGGTTGCGGCCAATGAGCCCGCAGCTACCCTGTAGAACTCCCAGAACCGGGATCTGCTCTCGGTGGAGGGGCAGGAGTTGCCGTATCCTCGTCTCCTTCCTGTCCCACGCCGGACACAGGGCAGCTCTGGCGCCTCCCTGAGGAGTGTCACTACTTCGGGAGAGCAGTGGGTGCTCTGTGAGCTCTTTGGTACGAGAACGCCTGCCCCGTGAATGTGAGCAGGAGAGGCGCCAGTGGATGTGGTTTCATAGTGTTAACTGTGGCCATAGACCCAGGGGCTGATGGACGGAAAGTGCCACGATGGGCACTGGTCACCCAGATGGGGTCGCTCGTGGTGGCTGTGGTCCTGGCGCTTGCTGCTGGTTCCCTGGAATTCAGGCCATTGGCAGCTGGTGCTGGCCGGGCTGTAACTCAGTGTTGCTCCCACGCTGCTCGCCCTCAGGTGACCTTAATGCTGCTGGACCAGAACAACCGGGAGCACGTGATTGATGCCTTCAGGCCTGATGTGACCTCGTCCTCTTTCCAGAGGCCAGTCAGTGACATGAACATCGCCAGCGGCTGCCCCCTTTTCTGCCCCGTCTCCAAGATGGAGGCCAAGAATTCCTATGTGCGCGATGACGCCATCTTCATCAAGGCCATTGTGGACCTGACGGGTCTCTAGCTTTCTCCCACCAGGGTTGGGGGTCGCGGGTCACACCGGGCTGGAGCCTCACCATGGGTGGGCACCTGCCACGCTCATGTCCACCGGGAAGGGGCCGCCTCCTGGGAGAGGCCACTCAGCCTCTGAGTGGGGCAGGCTGCAGGCCTGTCAGTACCTGCTCGTGGGCCATCAGTACGGGTGCTCAGGCGAGGTGAGCAGAGGGCGAGGTGAGGTGGCATCTCGTCCTGTCCTTTGGTTGGAGAGAAGGGACGTTCCCGGGCCTGGCCGCTCCTCTGAGGAGAGGTCCTGCTCTGCAGGCCTGGCCAGGCTGGCAGGCACAGAGGGCACTCTGTCCTCAGGGCATCCTGTCGGCTGCCCCTGTGGCGAGTGCGGGGCACACACTGGGCCCTGCTGTCGGACATGATGCGTTAGCTGCCCTGTCGGGCTGTGGAGAAGTCGTTATTAAACTGTTAAATTTCCATGGTGAGTGGTGTCCGTTTGCCTGCGGCCTTGCTGGCGGTGACCCTCACAGGGCCTCCTGGCTCTCTGCCCTCCTGTGGTCTCCTCCCCTTATGTGTCCTGTCCCTACCGGTGTCACTGGATCCCTGAGCAGTACCGTGGGTTCCCTGACACCTGAAGCTCGCTGCTGCTGGCCTTGCTGAGGCCAGCTGGCCTCTTCTGGAATGTTCTTCACTAGCCGGCTCCTCCTCTCTCAGTCTATACGTGTCCCTGCTCCTCCACACAGGGACCTCTAGTGCTGGAAGAGTGGCCAGTAGATCTTTGGCATTTGGGGATCGACAGGCAGCGTCGCCTTCCCAAACTGGTACTTATGCAGGTACCAGTCGGCAGTCAGTGGTTTTGGCGCCCTGACCTCAGGCTGAACCTCCGCCCAGTGCAGGACTAGGGCAGGCTCTGGGGTCCTGGCCAGTGGCTGTCTGTACCTCTGGTTGGTTCTCAGGACCACTGGTTCCAGAGGGCCAGGCAGGGGGCTGCCTGGGCATCTTTGCAGAGAACCTGACATCACAACTCATCCCTCTCGGCCAAGAGTTAATGTGACAGGAAAGCTTGGAGGAAAAAGAACCGAGCCATCCCAAGACCCGTGCAGTTGTGCTGAGACACAGGGCAGAAAAGCTGCCATCTTGTGGGTCTTCCCTTTCCACTCTCCAGAGCACTGTCCTCATGATTGGTGTCCACAGCCGCGACCACAGCATCTTCACCCGCGTATCACCTCCAAGCCACAGGGCACATGCTGCCTGCATTGGTCTCCTGACCTGGGAGCGCAGCACCCTGCACACTTCCGTTCCACCTGCCCGTTTGCTGGGCTCCCAATGTGCACAGGCTGTGTGGGCCAAAGGCCTGGGGGCTGCGGAGCCCGGACAATCGCCTGCCCACCTTATGCACTTGTCTCCTGGTTGGTGAGGTGCCTGTTGTCCCTGGGGACTAAGCCTTAAGAAAGTCTTGAACTGTGTCAGTGGACAAGATCCTAAATGTGGATGTGATTACTTGGGTGATCGTTTCCTGTGATTTGTGCTCTTGACCACTTGTTCCACAAGTCCTGAGTCTGACCAAGAAAACACTTTTCTATTTTTTCTGATGGTTTTAAAGTTTCTGTTTTTAACACATTGGGTTTTTACTGGGGAGATTGTGTGAGATGTGTGTGAATATGTTTTGTTTTCCATTAGGGGTAAAGCAAGTATGTCTGTGAGTTTACTTCTTTTTCTTTAAAACAGAAGGGTAAAATGAGGGTTAGAAAGGCTTTTGCCCACAGGGACAGAGTGAGGGAGAAGGCAATAGCAGAAAGATGTGACCCGTTTTAGAAAGGGGAAGGTGGCTTGAGGGGTGGCGGGCAGGCAAAGGAGGGCCCGCGGCAAGACTGGGCACTGGAGGGCACCGACTCACGGGCTGGGTGCACAGCTGCCTGCCGGTTGTCCCTTGCTCTCTGTGGGGGAGCTGAGGGGTCTGGGTCTATAGAACATGCTAGAGCTCAGGACTGAACAGTCAGCTCCAGGAGAAGCGCTAGAAGTGCACACCGAGCCGAGGGTCCCAGCGCCCTGCCCTCGCTCTGGGCTGCTGCTTCAGGGTCCCCATGGAGAGAGCACGTGCCTAGAGGGAGACCCTGGGAGGGCTCTGTTCCAGTCCCTCACCACCTTCCAGAAGGCAGGGAGCCCTGCCCCTGGCAAGCACAACCCACGTGTCTGTCTCAGCAGACTCCTGTTCTGGATGTGCACCTGTGTACAGTGGTGAGCATGGCCTTGGCACCTGGCTCGAGTGTGAAGTTCTAAGACTCTGCAGTGGGAATCGGGCCTCCTCTTCTTCCTAAGACTGAATAAGACTCCAGTTATGGACAGACCATGTTTTGTTGATTTTTCCATTGACAGACTTTCAGGTTGTCCCCACATGGCTCTCAAGAGTTGTACTGCTGTGAATGTGCTGTGTGGCTTGTGTGTGGCTGGGTCCCTTGGCTTTCAGGACGGGCCCAGGAGGGGAGGTGACAGGACATGTGTTGTCATGTTTGAGGAGCTGCCAGGTGATTTTCCAGTGACAGCTGTGCCATCCGACATTCCACACAGTGTCATTTCCACTTATGCCTTCTGCACGTTCTCTAGAATTTCATGTCTGTGTTAGTTTTCAACAAAAAATAGTTATTGAGGGGCGTCTGGGCGGCTCAGTCAGGCATCTGCCTTTGGCTCAGGTCATCATGATCCTGGGGTCCTGGGATCGAGCCCACTCGTGCTCTCTTGTTATCTCTGTCGCTCTGTCTCTCTCAAATAAATTAATTAAAAAGAAATACTGAAAACCACCCATAGTGGCCACGGCACCACGCATGCTGTTCCTGCTTGCAGGTGCTTTGTGCCTGCCCCTGTGCCTGTCTGGAGGAGAGATGCCAGCTGCTGTGCTGTCCTGAGGGCCTTTGGCTTCACACGTCTGTAGCCATATTCATCATCAAGGAAACAAAATCTGTAAAATCAGAGCAGAGTATAAGAATCAAATCACATAAGGATCCCTGGGTGGCACAGCGGTTTGGCGCCTGCCTTTGGCCCAGGGCGCGATCCTGGAGACCCGGGATCGAATCCCACATCGGGCTCCCAGCGCATGGAGCCTGCTTCTCCCTCTGCCTGTGTCTCTGCCCCTCTCTCTCTCTGTGACTATCATAAATAAATTAAAAAAAAAAAAAAAAACACATAGACTTTGAAAAAAAAGCCAGTGAAACACAACAGGTAGAGAGGTTGAAATGAAAAGCTCAATCCAAGGTCGGAGCAGACCCACCTGGCATGAGAATAAGCAAGCAGACGACAGAGAGTGGTGTTGCTGTGTCACACGGTGGGTATAGTTTAAAGTCCCAAGAAACCAACCATTTTCCAGAGTCTAGCTGCTATGGTATGAATGTGCCCCCCCACCCCTGAGTCATGGGCTCAGGCCTAACCTGAGGTGAAGGTGTTAGGACAAAGAGCCTTTGGGAGGGGAATAGTAAATAGGTCATGGGGCAGAGCCTCAGGAGAGGGACCCCAGGGAGCTGCCTTGCACCCCTCCTGCTGTGTCAGGATGCACCAAGAAGTCTGCCACCCAGGGGGCCCCTGCGCTAACACTGTGGTCTCGGCCTTGGGCCTTCACAACTGTGAGTAATAAATGTGTCGCTGATAAGCCACTCAGTCCTGTGGTGTTTTGTTACACAGCCCGTGCTGACAGAGCTGGTGGCTCGGCCTCTTCATGTGCTGGGCACAGGTAGGGCTCCCACGCTGCACACTCTGGCCTAATGCTTGGTTCAGAGGCATGCTGTGAGATCCTGTTTCAACTTTCCTTTGTGTTTCCCTCTAACAACTGTCATCTCTGGCGACACGTCTGCTTGTTACCTTTGCCCGTTTTTTGTCTGGGCTAGTTGTTTCCTTACCATTGAGTTGCCAGTTGTTTGTGTAGTCCAGGTATGCGCTCTTTGTCAGGTACGTGGCTTGGAAACGTTTTCTTCTGGTGTGTAGCTTATTTTTTTATCTGCTTAACTTTTTGGAACAAAATTTGTGAGTTTGAGTAAAGTGCTACTTACCAACTTTTGTGACACCGGTTGTGCTTTTAGTGACCTACTGAGCATTCTTCGTCTTCCACCAGGTAATGAAAGTTGTCTACAGTCTCTTCTAGAAGTAGATTGTGACATTCTACATTTCGATCTTTGATCCATTTTGAGTAGATTTTTGTAGAAAGCATGAAGTTTAGGTTAGTTTTTCTGCATCTGGATGGCCAGGTGCAGTGCTGTTTATGGAGATGTCCATTGTTTGCCTCCGCATACATTCATAGCCTGTAAAGTTCCTCTGCCCTGTACGTGTGATCTGTTTGTGTTCACTCACCTGCGTCCGTACTCTTCCACCAACACCAGTCTGTTGGGATCAGCATCCTCCTAGTGAGTATTAACTCAAGTGGTATAATTCCTCCAACTTTATTCTTATTTTTCAAAATTACTTTAACTACTCTTGTTCCTTTGCTAGTATGGATAAGTTTTAGAATCCCCTGGTCTATATCTACAAAAAGCCCTATTGGGATTTGATTGTCGTTGTATTAAATCTACAGGTCAATTCGGGGAGAATTGACATCCATGTTGTCTTCCAATCCAGGAATATAATTTGTCTCTTTTTGTGTCTTTGCTTTCTTTTAGTCAGCATTTTGCTATGTTCAGCATAAACATTTGCTTTCTTAGGTGAGTGCCTAAGCATTTCTTTTGTTCTTGAGTTATCATAAAAGTATTTATTACTATTATTTTAAAGATTTTTGTTTATTTATTGATTTAGAGAGAGAGCAGGGGGGAGGGGGCAGAGGAAGAGAGAATCTCAAGCAGAATCCCTGCTGAGCACAGAGCCCAGTGTGGGTCTCGATCTCACAACCCTGAGATCATGACCTGAGCCAAAATCAGGAGTCGGATTCTCAACCAACCGAGCCACCCAGGTGCCCCGTAAAAGGTATTTTTTAAGTTTTTGGCTTCCAGTTATACATTCTTAGTGTTTAGAAACAATTGTTTTTTGTGTGTTGTCTTGATATCCTGTAAGCTTGATAAACTCACTGGTTCTAGGAGGTTGTGGAGTTATTTGTTTTTTGTAGCTTTTTGGGGATTAAAAACAATCATATGATAAATAATCATATATCATCTGTGAATAAGGACGATTTTATTCTTCTCCAGTCTGCCCTCCGTTCCTCTTGCTCACTAAATCCCACCTGCTGAGTTTCCTTCTGTGGGATGGAACAGGAGTGAAAGGAGGGGCTTTGGCTTTGGGTTCCTGGTCTTGGGGAGGTTCCATCTTTCACCAGGTATAATGTCACCTCAGATTGTGTCAATGCCTTTATCAGGTGGAGCAGGCTCCCTTCTACTCCTAGTTTGCTGAGAGCTTTCTCATGACTTGGATGCTTTGTGAAAAGCTTTCTTCTGCATCAAGTGATATGTCCAAGTGGTTTTTCCTGTATGTTGTTCCCGTGGTGGCTTACATTGATTTATCTCTAA